TGAGGGAGACACAAAATAAGACATGATCATGTGGGAGGATAATTCTCACAATATTGTGCACTATGACTGTGATAGGAGCATATCTGTTACTAATTCTTTTCTTTATTAAAATACACAAAGATTTACACCACCAAATCCGTATTGTTTCCTCCTTGGCAGAGTGGAACATCAACGCTGATCTGCAAAATTCAGAAGGACTCCACTTTGTTATAACAGACTGCCACCTGGTGGCTGAATACACTCAGCTTTTTAAAAAAATAACATTTTATATAAAATAAAGGAAAATAAAATAAGAGCCTATGACAGATTTTTTTTTTTGGGGGGGGGGGGGGGTTGAAATGAAATAAATTATATATATATATATATATATATATATATATTGTATGTAACACATGTAAATATATAACTTGTTTATGCATATCATGTTTATGCATATAACTTCTTTAGGCATATCATGTAAAAAATGTTTAAATGTCAGATATACCAAAGTTGAGGTCAGTTATTATATATATATAATTATTATAAATGAATATTATAATTCATATATAATTCATAAATTACTACTTTTATTCAGCAAGGAGACATTAATAAACTGACAGTAAAGACAATTATCATGTTACAAAAGATTTCTATTTCAGGTACAGTCAGTTTTTTCCCATCTATTCATCAAAATGTCCTGGAAAAAAAATGTATCCTGTTTTCCAAAAACTTACTAAGCAGCACAACTGTTGATCATTGATAATATTTGCTTGAGCATCAAATCAGCAAATTAGAATGATTTCTGAAGGATCATGTGACACTGAAGCCTGGAGTAATGATGCTGAAAATACAGCTTTCTGTATTCATCTGATAAAATAGATTGAAATAAAATAAATGTTAAAAATCTCTCTTTATAGTAAGAACACCTTACGAAAGAATACAGGGCTTATGTGTCGAGCTTTGTGAGTGAGACTATGTGGATGAGACCATTACTTAACATTTAACAAAAGAGATGACTTCATCTTTTCTGTACCATTATAGGATTTGTGAAAGAGCCATTTTTCCTCTGTGCTGAATGTGCTTTGAGATCAGCGGAGGGAAACACAGGGGAGGGAATGTGTTGTGTGCTATTCTCCTATTTACTTTTATGGCTTTTCCGCTTTCCTCAGTGTGGTAGCAAAATAGCGCCTGGGGAGAGAGAGAGAGAGAGAGAGAGAGAGAGAGAGAGAGAGAGAGAGAGAGAGAGAGAGAGAGAGAGAGAGAGAGAGGGAGAAATGCCAATTACTGCCAGTCTGCTATGGAGTGCTTTGGCCTTGCCTCTGTTCTTCCATATAACTCATGAATTGCATGTGTGTACATGTGTTTGTGTGTCTCCAACTGAAAATTTACTACAACAAACAGTGCATTCATGAGCAAATAATTCTCTCGAAATCCTAACAGATAAGAAACACAAAAATACACTTCTTCCTGTCAAAATGAAAATAAATCAATCAAATAAATGTACAGGTTTTCACTGAGGCATGATACATTTGTGTACCAGAGTTATCAAAAGTCTGAAAAACAGAGTCATTAAACTCTCCATAAGTCCACATTTACGCCCACCTTGCAGTTCTGCAACTCCCACGTCTGTTCTGATCGATGGTGATCCAACTCAAACTTCTCACACTTACACTCGGCTAGATGTACTTGTCATTATTATAGATGAGGTCTATTTGGTTCCATCAGTGCTGAGAGGGGAAAGCTTTTCGACTGGAGGCTGAGTAAATTATTTGTGTTCCATAGAGGGGGAAATGGGTTCATATTTTAATCATACTTGACACCCTCACAACAGAGAATTGCTCTCATTTTTGTTGAAGTTAGGAAAATGTAAAATACAGTCTGCAAGCTGCTCCATATATCCCTGTAAAATAAAAGCTACAGCAGTACACAAAACCACAGACCTTTAAAAAAGAGAATAAGGCCTTGTCTCTGAGGCCATTATGTAATGCTTATGGACTTGCTTCAAATACAAAAGAACATACCATTGGCGCTACTATTTCAGCTTCAAGTTTAGAGATGGGAGTACACTCAAAAATTCAGGGTTGGTAAGATTTGTTTATAATTTTGAAAGAGGTCTTATGTAGCAAGATGGCATTTATTTGATCATTGTAAAATATATGACACTTTTAAATAAGTCTTCTATTTGAATATAGTTTAAAGTGTACTTTATTCCTGTGAAGGCTTCCTTTTTTACCATCATTACTCCAGTCTTCAGTGTCTCATGATCATTCAGAAATCATTATAAGTTGATTTGCTGCTCAAGACACATTTTGAATACAGTTGTTCTGTTAAATATCTTTGTGGGAACCTTGAAAAACGTTTTAGGGTTCTTTGATTAATAGAAAGTTCAGAAGAACAACATTCATTTGAAATTGAAATATTTGGTAACAGGAAAAATCTATTTTACTGTCATATTTGATCAATTGAATGCATCCCATGCTGGAAAAAAATAATAATAGTATTTATTTAAAAAGAAATCTAACTGTCCACAAACTTTTGAATGATAGTGTACATTTATAAAATTTTATTTTTTAATAATGTCTTCAAAAAAGCCACCTTAATCACAGCGTACAACACAACACCAGAATCCCGCAGAAAGAGTTTAAGGGTTTACTTTACACAACAACAATGTACTAAAAACCAAAACTTTTTTTCTTTGGGTTTTTCGCATACAGGCAACAGCGTTGTAAAAATGATCTCCGTTTACACGGATCTGTGAAATCGACTAAAAACGCTGTATTATGCATGCCAGGTCAGTAGTTGGCGATGTCACTGTAAAGAAACACTACACGCCTTTTGACTATTAAACATGTAAAATGCAGGACGTCATCGTTTTCACAAATTCACATTTTTGTAGTTTACACGGAGACGTAAACGAAATTGGTTTCAAACACTTGCACTTTGAAATCCGTTTTTTAAAAGTTTGCGTTTTCAGGTCCCTAAAACACTGTTGTCGTGTAAATGAAATTGGTATAAATCGGTATTGGTATAAATTGGTATAATTCAGTATAGTAGACTTACTGCTATAGTTTATGGTCTGTAAACTGTAAGAATAAACATATTTAGCTGAGGTGGCGGTGTGTGTTTGACATGGAAACTGACTGATAGGGCAGGTGGCTGATCTGGTATTAACATTCCCCTCTAGTTAACCTCTGACCTTCACTTAACCACTTCTGTGTTCCTCCTACTGTATATAACAGTATATGACTCCAAGTCATACCAACATGAAATACTTAAAAGATATGTGGCACGAACAAGTATTTAAAAGGCTCACTTTGTTGTTAGTGTTCCTGATCCCAAAGCAGTCAAGATAAAATAGCCTAAAGAGGCTATGAATGATGTTGATGAAAGTTGCAAATGCCTTAGAAACCAAATCCCCCTCAACACAAGACATGAAAGGACTGGGAGTCTATGGGGAAATGCAGGAATGGAGCCCCCTGTACTGTCTGAGATACCATCTTTGTTTCATTCAAACCTCTCTCTCATTTCCCACAAAATGCTATTTCTCATTTTAAATTAGAACTTTTGCACCTTTTGACGAGAATCTTAGTCATGCTCTCATGAAAGTGTGCTCTAAGATTTTATTTTAATATTTAGTGACAGTTCACCCTGCCTCTGTCACATCGGATTTATGGGATGAAACTGAACACAGTTGTTGACAGATTTAAAAATATATGAATAAAAATATTAGAGGCAGGGAAGAAATATTTCGATGTATTTATTTATTCTTTTGCTGATGCTATTCTGCCAATAAAAACGTGGGCAAATAAACTAAACAAAGTATAATTCTAAACTAGAAAAATAATGCATGTTATTGTTTTGCAGGGAGGGGTTCATAAAGCACATCAATCCTGCAGATCAATCAAATAGTAGAATACCATTACTGTCCCAGCATTCATAAGCAGTAGTGGGCAGTCATAAATCATTCTGTCTGGCTGACCAGATGGGGATGTAAAACTGAAATTTACTTCTAATGGACCTACAAATTTTGCACACAATGAGACGAAGCGAAGACTGACATTTTTGAAAAACGTCTAGGTTACGACTGTAACCATGGTTCCATGAGAAGGGAAAGAGACGTCGGGGACGTGGCATTGAGTTCCCTAGAAAAGGGAACTCAATTTGTTCACTAAAAGAAATAAAACGCATTGAACATTTTAAATGTTGTGCACTTTCTTTGTGTTGCAACTCACCAGACTAATGTGATTTGTCTGAGATTCATTTACACAACAAAGCAAAGAATGCAAAAAAAGTGCTGCACGGGGTGTGAATTCCTTATCTCGGTGCTCTTTGGATGTAAGGGATGGTTCAGCTCAAAAAATAAAGATATTCCAAGGCACTCGAATAATGTTGAAAAAGTTTAAAAGCCTTTATCATTAAAAACTGGTGACAGTGCACACCTACGCGTTGCGGCTTACAAGCCTTCGTCAGGGTGTGAGTCTATTTAATTCCTTTAGAAATGCATTTACACAATTTAGGGAAAGTCCCCCCCCCCCCCCAATGTTTGGGACACATGCTAATTTAAGACAGTGCCAAAAAAAATTGCTACAACACTTCCCCAGTTTCCCCTAATCATCAAAACCCCATCAACAGCTCACAGCTAACATATCACACAGGCTAAAAGGAAAACGAAGAGAAACATTTTTGACTGCAAGTAAGATTAATCTTTTTATTATTAATCGTACAAAATGGACCCTCATGAAGAAGAAGAAACATCAAAAACCAGCTTTGCCTGGCTAAACTGGTGTTCAGTGTTTTTGAAAGCTGGTCTCCCAGTCTTAGCTGAAGAATGCTCAAAATCCTCCTAAAACCAACCAAAAGAGCAGCCTGGGAAACCAACACACTAGCTTAAGCTGGTTTAAGATGTTTGTTTGTTTTTGTTTTCAGCAGGAGAGGGAGAATGTATCAGCCCATTAACAATAATCCAATTATGTCACGTTATTCATTAAATCTACAAAACAGTACATTGGAATGACTGAAGTTAACAGTACAGGCAGCAACGAATAGTCATAGATCAATGTGTAGCACCTATAGAAAAACTTGAGATGAGCTCCCAAATGTCTACATGATTTCTGTGCACTGCTTAATATGTTTGTAAACGGCAACAATCCTGTTCTGCAATGTAAGCGCGTGCTCTTCAGACAGAGAGCCCAGCTCGCGCGCCAACGGTTCCCTCGCGCGGTACAGTTCACACAGCAGCTTTGCGCTGTTTCCAGAGCGCTTCATCTCAGATATACGCCGGACTGTACTTCTCCGAAATATACACGACGAACTTAGCAGTAGTGTGTGATATCGTTCCCATAGGTCAAGCACCCTGTATCCGTGAATAAGCCCGGCCTCGTTATCAATAAAAAGCAAATGTCCACTGACTGTTTTGAGAAGGTTATTAGTGGTCCTCTCCATTACGCGCGCGTCCCATTGGAGACTGAAAATGTGACTGACGATTCGATCAAAGTTGGCTGTTAAATAATCAAATAAGATTAGATCACTCCACTGCGTTAATTCAACGAGATATGTTAAAGTCATGTTCGATATCTCGGCAGAGAGGTGAAGACCTGCCCCTTGCTGTTTTCGTAAATGTAATGGAATAAACACTCCAGTGACATTTGGGATGAACTCAGTGAGAGATACAATGGCATTTGGCGACCATTCTAACGCCTCGATATTTTCTCGCACACTTGCCCACTGCTCACTCGACAGGTTCAGTTTGGAAAGCGCCAAGGGCGGAAGGTTGGAAATCCCAAGCAGTTCAGCCAGATAATAAGAGAGGGTTTCGCCCAGCACTTGATCCGCGTCGATGCCGTATCGCACGCATGCTCTCGTGCCGTCGGCGAAGGTCGCGAGACGGTTTGTTGGTCTGCCGCAGCCCGCTTCCAGCACAACCACCCGAGCGTACCGAACCTGATCTCTCCACTTCCTCTCGTGCTCCACGTCAAAAACACGAGTGGAGAGACCTTCCAGCCACGCGCTCCAGAAGACCCGGTGCTCGATCACGTTATCTAACGGGGAGCGCATGCGAAAACTTTTACCGTCTTGCAACCCTCCGTTCCATGGCGCGTGTCTTTCAGAAACATTTACCTGCTCGTTTGCAAAAGAGAACACGACGCCAGAGCCTCGATCAGTGGCTTGTTGGACAAAAACGGACCAACAATGCAACTTAACATTTCCTATCCAGGTAACTATTCCAAGCCACATACAAAGTGACGCGCATAATTTCACCTTGCCGGCTTTCATGATTTCAAAACGCATTTTAGTCCATTTCGCTTTACCTTGACATCTTCTTACATGAGTCTCCTAAGGTTGAAATATAATCATCATGAATTCTCATCTCCCGTGCGGTGTTCCTCTCCTCCCAAACTCTTTCTGTGTTCAGTAGGCTACAGCTTCAATCGCATGGACGCGAACCATGTGACCAGATCATGAGACTTGACAAATGTCGTTTCATATTTCTCTAGGGGGGAATGAGATTGACGAAAATGGAATGTTAGACGAGAATGTTTTAACTTTTCTGGTGAATGCACAGGTAACTATTCGGATTGGCGTTAGCTGCAGTATTTGTTTACACAGGGAGTACTTCAGACTGAGGTCTCTAGCGACATATCCGTTACATGGCGTGATTAGTTGGCGGGTTGTTACTTAAAGGTGTACTCATTGATTTTGCTAATTAAAAAGTTACACATATAAAGAAATAAACATCACTTTTCAGAAATATAATTTGAATGATGCAGATGTACACTCACATGAGCTGAAGATTAATGTCATAACCCATCAAAATAGGCTTTTTTATTTGGTTGCTACTCTCAAATGTTGGCCTACCACCATTTTGACTTCACATGACCAGTGACATGTAGTCTAAAAAGTTATGTGCCCTTCAAGTGAAGTTGGAAATATCTTAATTAAGAGTTGCAAGCACATGAATGACCAAGCATGTCGTAGTGTAAAACGTGGAATTCTAGATGATACACAAGTTTGTCATATATCATATCATATCATATCATATCATATATCATATCATATCATATATATCATTCATTCCGGTGTCATCCACTTCCAGGTATTTTATCTGTACAAAAACAGTCCGTTGTGCTGCTGGATATTGCAAACTGGTATTTGTCATCATATTATTTTAATTTATTATCGTAATCGTAAACACACTGGTTTGTAGGTAAAATTTGTTATTCTTACCTAGCTGCTAATGGAAGTCTTGCACATTCACAAAAAAATAGCTTACATCCACATTGAAAAATAAGGTGGATATATAGAGAACAGTAAGCAAAAAGCAAGACTGTAGTCAATAATGTAAAGTGAATCACTCAACTTTCACAGTTTGCTTTACAAAACAAAAAAATGTAGTTGTGATAGCATGTATTTATTTTACATAGTTATTAGCCTATTTGGGTTTATTGTTCACAATTATATTTTTATGTTTTGTTTAGGCTGCTTCCCTGTTTTTTCCAATTTGAATGTGGCACATGTTGTAAAGTAATTAATTGCTTAATTTATATAGTGCGCTCAACCAGTGCTCAAGGCAAACATAAAAATGCATCTAAACAAACCAACACTTTATAAAAGTCCATAAAATAGGGCACCATATGCACAACGCGTGTCAATATGGAGATTTCCATATCGATTTTTTACAGGTGTTTTACTCCGTATATTGAAATATACATTGCGTTGTGTTGTTTGTTAGAGTTAAAGAAAATGCCCATTAACATGGATAATGTCCTGGCAGAAAATTATCATACCTTTTCTGTTTTTTTACAGTGAAAAAATCAGATAATGTATCAACAAACGTTTAGTGTAGTGTACATACAACAGTCACAACATTACTACTGAGTCTGAGTCAACAGGATAGTCCAGAGTGATGGTATGGATCAGTATATGTGCGATCCACCAGTCAGTCCAAAGTGAGTTTGAAAGGAAACATAAAATGTCCAAAAAAGCATTATTCCCTCATGAGACAATCTGCAGCTCTCACACCACAGATTGGGGATAAATGTCAGAACATCAAGCGCCAAGCATAAACACATGATGGTCACAGTTGCCACACTGCAAAATGCATTCAACTCAGCCTCTGCAATGAGAGAACTCACACAGACCAGTGGATTGTGACAGGCAGTCATGTACCAGCACACACTAACAACATGTACAAAATGGCTGAGATTGACACAAAGAATGATAATTACATAGATGTGTAGTATATAAAAAAAAAGTAACAAAAGATAAAATCTTAAGGTTGTTAAGAGGCAGTAGTAAGTAAACAAACTTCATGCATCCATTCCAGTAGGTGTCAGTATAAAATTCAAGAACACTGGTAGTATTGGCACAAGTAAGAGCCAGCTGAATGTAAAAACTTCCTGAATGCACCTTTAAATAACACAAATTATTGAACAAAGATATTTCTAGCATTTAAAGACCAATGCTGGTGTCTTTAAAACTGGTTTGGTGTGGTAACGGCAAAACATTATGTTTTGACTTGTTACTTGAATGCACTGCCAGACATACAGCTGGTCAGCTGCTGTTCTCAAAATGTCTGGCATGGTCATGGAGCATGAAAAGCATAACACGGTAGCATAATGAGGGTCCCTACCTGCAAACCGAAGCATTGAGAACTTTGTCAGAGTCCAGACAGTTTAATAAGAAGATACTTTATAAAGACAGTCCACTTCGCGTATACAGGCAGGAGCCGTCTTTGAAAAACAGTCTCGACCAGTAGAACTACGAACGCCGATCCAAGTGAGCTGAACTGTGTCCGTTGCTTCTGGAAGAAAGCACTGAGCGCATTAGAGAAGCACTGAACGCAACACAGAAAATAAATAAATAAAAATAATTTTAAAAAGAGAGACTTAGATCGGCACTTGGATCGGCGTTCGTAGTTTGACTTGTCGAGACTGTTTTTCAAAGATGGCTCCTGCCTGTATACGCGAAGTGGACTATCTTTATAAAGTGTCTTCTTATTACAGTTTTTCTCAATTGCTAAAACACTAAAACCCATTGGCTGAACAAAGTTCTCAGTTGCCTGAACTCATTTAGCTAATTGTGCAGTCTGTTGTCAATACCTTAAACTATTTCACATGGCAAAACACAATTTGCAGATCTTACTTAGACTTTTCAGCAAAACGCTAAACACATTCTCATTCTCAAAACATATTCTGCACTGTAAGGCACACGTCATCCATACTGGTAAACACAAGTGGCAATGATCAAATACAAATAGAGAACAAATGTCATTGATTGAACACAACCACTCAAAATTGATTTAACCTGTTTCAAATGATGCCCAAAGACAAGAAGAAGCACACTGATCACGTTTACTCCTTTGATTTTTGTCCCTTTTAGTATTGTATACTGTAGTACAGTGCATTGTAGGCTGTATACTGTACAATGAACAAATTATATGGCCCCGAACATCGTTACTGTAACAGTACCATTTGTTACAGTACTGAATGCTCAATAGATTTTACTGGTTGCACTTGCAGGTTCATATCAACAAAGAACAAGAATTACAGTATCAAACAATAGAACTGACAAATGAGACGTTTGTGAGATGCAGGGCACTGTACTGTAAAAATAGGGGTACAAGGAGGAAGAACAAATAAAATTGCAAAGAGCAAAGCAGAGTAGTAATTTCTGATCAATTTTGCGCTACTATGATGTTTTCATTCATCAAAAGACAATGACGGACAAATATGAAATTTGTTTTAAGATTAAAAATGTACTTCTCCCTGAAATTTTGATGGTACAGTAATGTGTCACGGGTAAGTCTACAAACAGAATAGCCGTCCATAGATATCTTTCGAGAACTGTATGTTTTGAACAATGTGTTTTCTATTTTTTGGTGTATTGTTTACTGACTGCTTGATAGTGTATATCATTTTGATCACTTTGTCTATGATTTGAGAGCAGTGTTTGATTTTGAACACAAGTAAAACTGTTTTGAGGCGAAAGTTTCATTTTGCAAGAAGAGTCAGAGGTTTTGTAAATAGTGCTTGAAGATGAGGTTTTGTGTTTAATGTTTTCAGAAAAAGGAGCAAGGATTCAGAAATTGTGTTTTAGCAATTGAGAAAAACTGTAAACTGTCTGGACTCTGACAAAGTTCTCGATGCTTCGGTTTGCAGGTAGGGACCCTCATTACGCTACCGTGTTAGTGTGGGGCTATTTAGAGCCTTGTTAGTGGTATTAACTAGCGATTTTTATTTGCCATGACTCTATGCCCTATATACTAGCGTTATATTAGCGTTATAGGCTAAACAGTTTTTAGAGATAAAACTCTTTACATTCGATAATCATGAAAACAAATCTCAGAGAACGGTTGACTAGGTAACAAATTAGACCAAAGGTTCATTTTGCGCCGGAGTTCTCCTTTAAGAACATATTTGTTCAGCGAATTCACAAACCGCAATTATTCTGTAAAACCCTATTGCTTTGGTGTATGCCCTCAAGATAACAAATATGCACTGTCAATGAAAACCAATCAAGCCGTATCTGTATGGAGATGTTGTGTTGTATAATGGCTGGCAGCATTGACAAGGGGGTCTGTCTTTTACTGGTGTTTTTTTTTTCAATTTGTCTGAAAGGATATTGGTTCAGAGACAGTGAGCTGGTCTTTGAGAACCGATCTGAGTTGTGTGTCATCAGCTTGAAAGGCATCAGGCAGGTCCAGCAGAATGATGATTGTTGGTTTTGAGGCACTGCAGGATTTCATTGAGATCAGTGAAGCCTCTCTGGAATGTCCAGTTTTGAAGCTAGACTACAGAAGAAAACACTGGGCAGAAGAAAGCCCTGACTGACAAGAACCCAGGACAACAATACTAAAAAAATAAACCTTAATGAAATTTTTGTTAGACTGTTAGTCTGCTCCACGCTGCTTGATCACATGACAGTTCTCAAACATAACCAGCAGGACCATATTAATCACTTAGATGGGTATTATAATTGTGATTTAACAAAGCAAATAATTAGAGGGAGAAGCTTAGGGGATTTTGGCAATTAATCTGAAAAACTATACTTGTACATTTATTTATTTAACGTGTACATTTATTTATTTAGCAGATGCTTTTATCCAAAGTTGATTACAAATGAGGGATATCACAAACAATTTGTCATACATCAAAACTACTACATTATGTAGACACTCCATATTCCATTCTACTCTATTCAAATGGGTTTTATGGTCCATTTATCTTTTACTCTGTGGATGCAATAAGAACAGTTATGTAGGTGGTATAAAAAAGGAGTAGCACTAAAATGTGACTAAATTTTGCAGAGCTCCACAGAGTGTGTGCCAAAGTGGCAAAGCACCAAAGTGTCTGTTCCCTCAATGTTCCTTCTCATTGGAAATGCACGTCTTAGAGAACTTTGTCCAGAATGTCCATGAATATTTTAGAAAGAGGCCCTTTTCCCCTTCAGACTGCCCTGGAGCAAGAGATGCTAAGTAGAACACACCATCATCAGAAACGGTTCTTGAATGTTTCTTATTTGGTAGTTGACTCTAACTCAAAACATCCAGAGGCAAGGTTTGGTTTTCAATAAGTGATTACAGTCTACATATCATAAGTTATACAGTTGCACAAGGATATAATCCAATATTGCTTAGATATTGATGGATTGCCCCTCAACAGAAATAAGAAGTTTGTGATAATCACTTTAAAACTACCAACAAGATTCATCAAATATTTTAGTTCGGAAGGACATATTTATTTGAAAATATGTTTTATACTCTGTCCTTTCTGTGGGATTTTGCTTGTATATAGTTGCCACAGCTGAAACAAATTAAATGTCAGGGTTGCATGTAAAACTTTTATGACAAACCCTAAAAAAAAGCATAACAAAACAAGATTATAGATACTTTTAGTGAGTTTGAAATGTATTGTATGCATATACTTGTGTGCTGTTGAACAGTTTCATTATTACCAGATCTGACGCTACTTCAATATGACAGTCGTACAACTGACATTCTCAATATGCACACAATCATAAAATATGCAAAGCTGGATTTGAGTATGGATTTTACTGTTTGGAGAATGAAAGGGATGTTAGGAGGGTTTTATTTCTAAGAATTGATACTGTATGGTATAGCGAGAGTGGAAACAGGCAGTGATAAAAAATAAACTAAAAAACATGGATATAGTGAGATCTGAGTAATTTTAGAATTATTTTCTAATTATAAATAGGTGATATCAACTGTTGTTTACAAGTAGGATAATTAAAAACTTTGTTTTAGTTTTATAATGTGTTTGTGCTGTGTGTCTTGTGACACATGTTAATCATCACAGTCATTAGAGCAGGGGGTTTTCTTCATTCAGACAGAATGAGTGTATTTGGGAGCAGTTAAGAACATGGAAACTCGGTTTCCATGGGAGCTCAAAACAAACTGGGGAAATGTTTTCCTATTTAGTTTGTCCTGCTCAACCGTTCAAACACAATCACTCACATCTGTATCTTTGGAATCCACCTAAACCTAAAAAAAAAACACTAAACTTTTTCTCATATCAAAAGTATAATCTGCAGCAGAAGGCTGAAACTAAGTCTAAGAAAATAAATAATCCAAATGGATCAGGGAAATGGAGAAACAGATGGGGGAGGGGTTAGTGTGTGTGTGTGTGTGTGTGTGTGTGTGTGTGTGTGTGTGTGTGTGTGTGTGTGTGTGTGTGTGTGTGTGTGTGTGTGTGTGTGTGTGTGTGTGAGAGAGAGAGAGAGAGAATGAAAGGTTGAGGAGAATGAAGAGAATGGTTCTCACAGTCAGTCATTTGCTTAACCAGTGAAATGACACTGATCAGGGCGTGTTCCTTGCACATATATAGATGTACATTTCACTTTTTTTTCAACAGGGCTTAGTCAGTAGGCTACATAAAGTATTACCCAAATTATTATACTTGAACACTCCTCTAGCAACTACATTTACAGTTTAAATTCCAAAGTTTTTTCCAAGCTGCTACAACAATTTGGTTTGTTTCCAGATCAGTATTGAGAGAAATATTTAGAAGTAACTTAGTAACTGTGTCTAACAAATAGACAAACATGACATTGGTGGGATAATGGGTTAAAGGTTTCCCCTTGCTCTGTATCAAACTCCTTACGTCACAGCAACAGTTGAGCAGTGAAACTGTAACAGACTGTAAATTGAAGGAGAGACTGAGAGAGTAGTATAACAGAAAGAAGCTATAGAAACTGTCTGAGAGAGAAGAGAAAGAGAGAGAGAGAGAGGGGAGAGGAAAGACAGAGAGACTGAGGGGGTTCTAATCACTGGCCTCATGTTGCAGGAGCTCATTTGACACAACAGAAGTCTTGGCAGAAGAATGCTCTTTCCCGCAGGCCAGCTGGCTGTGAGCGCAGGGATATGGATGTCCCCTAAGTGTGGATACCTCTTTTCGCTCCCTATCCTTCTTTATCTTCTTCAGCTTTTAAGCACTGGCGCATCTTGGCCAAATGGTAAGAGTTTTGCAACGACTGTAACATTTACTTTTAATGAATGTGTTTCTCTGACACAGACACTGTCATTGCACTGCGCTGTGCAATTTAAATACCACAGCCACTGGAAAGTACGTGTATATGACAGCATGTTTAGTCCTTTTAACAGCACTTAATGTTAGTCTGCAGGTTACTTTCCGTTAAAGAGGACTTTAAAGATCAGAGAAGCGTTCCTTAAGTCCCAGTTGACTTTTTTTCATATATGAATCTGTTTAAATATTCATGACAAGTTGTCCTTGTGTTGCTTGCAAATTTTAGATAATTATCCGCATTGTATAGAATATATAGAGGTTTGATTAATGGTCAGTTATATTTAGTGTTTAGTAGACCTGAATACATGTGCTTAACATGCATAAATCTCTTTGGACATTTTCTCACAAATGAGAAAAACAGACATGAGATAAATGCACCAGGAAATGACTATAGGAACCTGTCTGTAAACTCAAAGACAGCAAGACACAGACAGGAATCTTGCTTATAATTTTGGCACTGTTGCACAATTTTCACAGTTGCTCATCTTAATTATGGTCACAGCAAAACCCTTGATGGGTGTTGAAATATCACAGACTATAATTGCAAGACTGGTAGTCAGATCTATGACAAAAGCATGAGTTGAAGACATCGTTGAGAACTTAAAGATAGTTTGGTTGTCTACACAGCATCATAAACTTTTACATTTTTGTCTGGCACAGGATTCCCTCACAAACCTTCACATCTGCTTTTGCTGACTGATTGTTAAGAAATAATGACTTTTCCCTGACTGAATTGGTGACTTATTTTTCCTCTAACATGCCAAATGAAACTTATCACAGAGAAGACTTAATTTGAAGAAGGCACCATTCACATAAAGTCACCACCAACATGAATTCTAGAAAAGCAGGCAAGATATTCTGTTTCTAACTTCTAGTCTGCTTGATTTAGTTTTTAGGTCGCAGGAGGATAAGTGTCCCGGCCCACAGTGGAACGCCATGTGTCGTACCTGCTGTGAGTACGAGCAGATTGCATGTAAGTGCCCATCTCAGGGAACAAAAGTGGGCTACGCTGTACCCTGCTGTCGAAATGTTCTGGATGAGTGTGACCCCTGCATCCTACACCAGGGTAAGATGGAACACAACTCCAACTTTACATAACCTGCAAATGTATTTTTTCAACTCGAGCAGTTCAAATGATTGGATTTATATTGCATATACATCTGTGTCAAATAGTTTTTTTTTTAAATGTATGGGTTTCTGCATAGTTTAGTTTCTTTAAATGTATTTATGCTTTCCATTGTCTATCTATCTATCTATCTATCTATCTATCTATCTATCTATCTATCTATCTATCTATCTATCTATCTATCTATCTATCTATCTATCTATCTATCTATCTATCTATCTATCTATCTATCTATCTATCTATCTATCTATCTATCTATCTATCTATCTATCTATCTATCTATCTATCTATCTATCTATCTATCTATCTATCTATCTCACCTACCTACCTACCTACCTACCTACCTACTTATCCACTAAGGTTGCAACATTTTTGACAACTGCAAGACTTGCAACAATGGCACCTGGCAGGCCAAGGATAATTTCTACATCATCGGCAGGTACTGCACAGCATGTCGTCAAGGATGGTCTGGTGGAGACTGTCTCAGTGAGTCGTTCGGTTCTTTTTATTATTTAACTCGATTGCTTTTTATTGTCACAAATATGTCAATAAATTTAGACACACTCTCTATTCGCCAACTTTAGCATGTGGAGAAGTTATACAGAGACCCCAGGGTCATGTGACTTTAGAGAGTTATCCAATCAATGCCAAATGTGAATGGACACTACAAGTCGGCAGAGGAGCAACGATGGAACTCAGGTAAGTGCTACAAAGCTGATGATTAATAAATTGGGTTTCACTTTATTTTGATGGTTCCTTTAACACATTCTGTTGACTATAAGTAACGTTGCACCTACATGTCCACTAACTCTTATTAGAGTGTTAGTAGAGTATTAGTAGACTGGGTTGGGTTAGAATAAGTTGACATGTAGTTGCAAAGTTACTTAGTCAGTTTAATGTCTGTTGGGGAGCATCACAATAAAGTGTTATCGGATATTAACCAGACAGTCTAATACTCTAATGAGAGTTAGTTGACATGTAGTTGCAAAGTTACTTATAGTGAACAGAATGTTCAACATTGACCATCAAAATAAAGTGCTACCATCAATTGCAGTTTAAACATTTCCCAATTGAATTAGTTTGAAGACACTATTATATTGCAAATATATGCAGTATATTTTTTTCAATGCAGGTTCTCAATGATTAGCCTGGAATCTGACCATAGTTGTCGATATGACTATGTTGAGGTGCGGGATGGGGACAGTCTGAAGTCACCTGTGATTGGCAGATACTGTGGGGATGATAGCCCTTCACCAATCAGAAGCTCTGGAAACTCTCTGCATATTCTTTTTGTGTCAGATGGCTACAATAACTATGATGGATTTTTTGCCACATTCCAAGAAGTATCAGGTACAAAATAGATTGCTAGCTGTACACTTTATTTATTTGTTTGTTTTTATTTTAGCATATTTTATTTGCAGTTCATTCATTTATAATAATTTGGTTACCAGATCCTGAACCATACAGCTCATTTCCTAAATTCAGGCACATGTTTTCTCTAATTTTAAAGACATCGTTGAGGCTTTTTATTGTTTTTGCTGAGTGGGCTTCATGGAAGAGAGATTACTTTAAAAGTCATCTCAGCAAAAAATCTGTTTAATTTTTAATGCTTACATATTGCATCATAACATTTTATTGCTTTTCACAAGGGCAAACACCCCCTCTCTGTGCAACCCCCCAGAAGCCTGCACACGGAGATCTCTTCCTGCGGTACAAGGAAGGTGACATCCTCAGCTCGGTTCAGTACCTTTGCTATAAACCGTACCAGCTCAAGGGAGCATCTCAGCGGGCATGTCTTCCCAATGGCACTTGGAGTGGAAGTGCTCCTGTGTGCATAAAGGGTACGCTGACTCTTATGTAGTTATGACAACTGCTTTTGGTAGACACCCTTTGAGACTGACAAAGCTGCTACCATCAGAGTCAGATGTGCCTGTATGCCTGGGAGTCGTGCTTCTCTGAACTTGAGATCATAGAACATCAGAATGTCTTATTGAGATCTTTCAGCATTTTTAAATGTATGAAACATATAGGTAACACTTTACTTGAAGGGGTGTGCATAAGACTAACATGACACCTTCATAATCATGACATGACACATGTTATGAATATGAAGGAAGTTTTATGCATGTTTGTGACAACTGTCATTAAGTGTCATTCGCTCAATTATGACATTTATAATTCAAATATGACATTGTTTGAGATGTCTTTGTTATGACACCTTGACATAAACCAATACATCATAACCTGTCAGTGTCTTTGTCATGACAACTTGACATTACTAAGACAACACAACCTGTCATAAACATGACATAGCAGATTAATTATCAAACTTAAGAAACCACTTAGCTTTATTGGTTAACATTACATTAAACTGTCAGGTGGTTGGTTTTGACATTGGCTGTCATGAAGCCATTATAACTGTTTAATGACAAATTCAATGTGTACCACTGTAGTTGAGGTCACGAAAAATATTCATGACACAGTTATAATGGCCTTATGACAGCCAATGTCAAAACCAACCACATGACAGTTTAACTTAATTTAATGTCAAGTAGTCATGACAAAGACACTGACAGGTTATGATGTTATGGTTTATGTCAAGGTGTCATAACAAAGACATCTTAAACAATGTCATATTTGCATTCAAAATGTCATTATTGAGCGAAAAACACTTAATGACAGCTGTCATAAACATGCATAAACCCTACTTCATATTCATGACATATGTCATGTCATGGTTATGAAGGTGTCATGTCAGTCTTATGTACACCCCTTCAAGTAAAGTGTTACCAAAATATATGTATTTTAAATGCATACAATGCTCTAAAAATATGTTTCAGTTAGTAGAAAACAGGCTTCCGGATCATTGCAAATTTCTGTGACTTCAGAGTTCTACTGCCATTTTTTATTTACAGAAGTGATCATAAAAGAATGCCCCACTCCACCACAAGTCCACAATGGATATTCAGCAGAGGTTTCAGGCTCTGATGGCAGAATAAAATATGTGGAATATTTCTGCAATAATACATACATTCTCAGTGGGGACTCGAAAAGAACATGCCAGAAGAATGGGACCTGGAGCGGCAGTCAGCCCCTCTGTGTCAGAGGTACCGTCTCTTCTTCAAGTTTCAAATCAATTATAAAATATCTTACACTTTATTTTGAATGTGTCCTGGCCAAACATGTTACATGCATTTACTACAGTAATAACTATAAATTAGGCATAATTACATGCAACTAACCCTAAACCAAACGCTAATCCTAACCTAACCCTATAGTAGATGTAGTTAATTAATTAATATTACTCAGTACTTAAAGTGCCGAATATTCCGGAATATTCCCTTTTAATACAGTGGTCAGGTGGTATTTATAGCTTAGGGGCGGGACGCTTTAGATTCTAGAGAGAATTTGATTGGACAGAAGATATGATGAGAAGCTTAAGTTCGTGGTGATGTCATACAAATCATGATCCATTTTAGCAGAAGTGATAGACTGTAAGTTTTGAATGCTTATATGTTATTTTGGAACACACCAGCTTATTCATAACCTTAAGGCTAAGCTAAAAAACTTACATTTTGATTTCAGGGGGCCTTTAAAATAGCATAATAGGGGCACTTTATATATGTTTAATTACACTGTCACAGGGACACATTACAATAAAGTCTAACCAACATCTTTTGTTCACTCTGTGAACTTGAACACCTAAACTGTTTTACAGCCTGTAGAGAACCTAAAGTTTCAAAACTTGTGCGACAGAAGGTTTTAAAATACCAACCTCCATCCAGGTAGACTTTTTTATTTCTTTTGTGACAGTGTGATATTAAACTCATAAAGTTGTTTTAAAGGGTTCTGGATCCTCATTTTATCCCTTTTAATGGTAGGAAAAGTCCAGTCCACAAGCTGTACTCTGCATCCAGTCAGGGAGGGACTGACGCAGACTTGCTGGGGAAAGTTTTTCCTGTTTTCGGAGATTTGCCATCAACTTTCCATCATGTGTATACCAGCATAGAATATGAGTGTGTTTCAACGCTTTACAAGCCCTCTGGTAGTGCACGTCGCACATGCCTAAAGACTGGCAAGTGGAGTGGTCGTCATTTCTCCTGTTCACCAGGTGGGGGAAGCACTAACACATTTACAGCATGTTTTGGAACCAGATTTCCTATTTACAAATATTTTCTATGTACTAATAACCCTGACAGATGTAAGCTGACAGTACAGCACTCAATAGCACTCATTTTAAATGTATTTAATCATGTAATTATATATAAAATAAAATTTAGATTATTAAGTGAGTGCCAGCTTTGGTATATAAAAAAAACAAAAAAATACAAAAATAAAATAATATTATTAAGTATACACGTTTATTATTGCACAATTATATATATATATATATATATATATATATATATATATATATATAATTGCAATAATACACTTGTATATTTAATTATTTTATTTTATTTTTTTATTTTTTTTATTTTTATTTTATACCAAAGCTGGCACTCACTTAATAATCTGATATGATTAGAAATCAGTGCCTGAACTCACTCTGGCACTCCTTCTCTTCCAGTATGTGGTAAGTTGCCACCTGCCAGTCCCCAAAATTTAACAGAGATCCACTGGCCATGGCATGCTGCCATATATGCCCATCTGTACAATGCCAGTCCTCTTATGGCAAGGACCAAAAGACGGGGGGACACGTTTGCCATAGATGAGGAAGAAGAGGGGGAGGGGGAGGAGGAAGAATGGGTAAAGAAGGACCAGAGATGGCAGCTTGTCTGCAGCGGGGCTCTGGTGAACCAGCACTGGGTCGTGGTGGCTGCTCATTGTGTGGCGGAGCCTGGACGAACTGAAGCTCTCAGTGCAGAGGATCTAAATGTAGTGATGGGGAAACGTTACCTCAGCGACCTCAGAGAGAACAAGAGACTACAGCACATACAAGTAAGAGCTTTCAGACTACACTAAAAACAGTCATGCTTGTATGTCTTGCAGAAGCTCCTCTAGAACCTCATTACAGTGCAATTCAAACATGCCCAATTTAGTTTATCTATTTATTTGTGAGTTACATTTAAATAAATTGCATGTAACATTGCAGAAATAACTCCTGACATTAATAGAATGAGACCTTTCCATAAATCAAACAGCATTTCCATATTTTGTGTCTTGGAAAGTTCTTTGAAAGCCCAAAGCCATACAGAGGAAACTGCAGACTAAATATACGCATTAAAACTCAAGGCACATTCTTAACGATAATCTATGATTAGGCTTTGCCAAGAAGTCTGTAGGATTATTTACTTCTCAAACCGACTAGCCTCTTTCAGTGCAAGTCTTTCATCATATCTGTTCCCACACAGATTGCTCAGATCTTGATCCATCCAAACTACGATCCACATGTCTTAGACTCCGACGTGGCCATTCTGAAGCTGGTGGACAAAGCTCGAATCAGTGAGTACGTGTCCCCTGTTTGCCTGCCGTATCTGCAGGGTGGCGAGATCACTGCAAAGCAGGCAGTCCTCACTGGTTGGCCCGTGTCAGGCCAACACGGGGCACACACAGACTCCGAGTCGGTCCGGACCGGACTGATAGATGTAGCTGATGTGGTGAAGTGCGAAAAACAATATGGCAAACATGGTGTCCCGATAAGTATGACTGACAACATGCTATGTGGACGGCAACATCCACTCAGCCCATCTATGATCTGCCCTTCTGAAACTGGAGGGATCATCCTTTCACCCTCTGCTGACTCCCAACTCACTTTAGGGCTGGAGACTTTTCACCCCAGTGGAGCAGAGCACACTGATTCTAATCGTTCTTGGGAACTGCTGGGGTTAGTGAGCTTCGGATATGATCTGCAGGATTGTAATCCAAATCTGTATACCATCTACACACGGGTAGCTAACTTTAAGAACTGGATTGAAAAGAACATTGCATAGAGCTCTAGATCAAATATTGTAGAGCAATTGTCTGTACAGCATTTTCCATGTTCCAGATCAAGACAGTGGAGATGATGTATTTGTCCTTTGACTTTTCTCTTTCCTTTGATAGTGAATTGTTCTGGCAGAAATTATATTGCACAAAAATCATATGTTTATTGATTAGAAGAGGTGTGGCACTTAGATTTCACAACTAGTTTATGGCCTTGCGTGTGGGTGAGGATATGTATTTGCATGGTAAAATGAAGAGGAAGCGTTCCATGTGAATTCAGTAACTAGGTTTGCAGGCCTTAGCTTGTCTTTGGTCTCTCTTCAAGATGTTTCACAACCCAATTTGCTCATACTTTTCACACAATCAATATACAGTACATGTATTTACACTTATCTTTTGTGCAGCCCTTGTCTACTAAAATTGGGACTCTGTATTTATTATTCAAAATGTTTTAATTAAATGAAATTTGAGGAACACAATGTGGCATTTACTGTTTTTAGTCATTTATCCAAAGATTTCAGTGACAACCCCCTTGGGCAACCTGAGGTTAAGTTCCCACCTTAAGGGACACACTGGTTTTATCTCATGGCTCATTCCTTACTGGAATCAAACCAGCAACCTTCCTAATGTTGACCACTAAACCTAACTAATGATATATGGTGCTATTATGATGAAACATGGGGATTTCTTAAATCTATCAAAATCTTAGTTTTTTATATATACAGTATATGTACACTACCGTTCAACAGTAACTCAAATAAGCACTCGTTACAACCGGTATGCAGAAGAGCATCTCTGAACACACAACATGTCCAACCTTGAAGGGCTACTGAAGAAGATTACACCCGGCGCCACTCCTGTCAGCTAAAGGGACTAAATTGCTTATGTGGTACGTTAAAAAGGTTATGGTGTAGCGAGTACACTTGTTACCCGGCACGCAGTAGCTTGCCAACATCTGCATCGCCAGACTTTGTTACCTGGTTCAGCTAGCTGTGGCGTTTTCCATAGGGACATCTAGTGTCACTACATCAACACTATGTCGAAGTGATTGACAGATAGGAAACATCTTGGTTACTATATTGTAACCTCCATTCCCCGATGGAGGACGTAGTGTCCCTCTTGTCAGTGTCACAGTACTGAACTACCCGCTGAAATGCCCGGGAAACTGTCTCGGCTCCTCAGCACAAAGGAATGGACTGAAATAGTGGATGCAAGCCACGTCATGAGCAGATCATGAGAAGCCCCTGCCAATTTCTGTCATATTAGGCCAGAGTCTGCACAACTGAAAGGTCATCACAGTTCAAGATTATGTTTCCCTAAAATAATGCAAAGGCTTAAGCTAGTCCCAGACTAAAATGCATGTTTGATCTGTTTTTAACTGAAAGCAACTTGCACTGACATATATTAAAATATGTCAGTGCCATTGTTTTGTCTCAAGATGCACACCAGTAATGTTTATAAAAGCTACTTAAATGCCCTAATTGAACTAAGGCCTAATCCTGTCTTCGTCTAAGCCCTGTCTGTGATACTGGGCCTTTGTCTCCATAGAAAGAACCAACCAGTCTGCATTAATGTATAACACAGTTTTGCCATGGTCATATGCAAATAACCAGACATACAACGAAATAACTTGTTTCATTGTTTCATATAGTTAAGATCTCATTTACAGATTTTGCTGAATCTATTTAGCATGAACGTAGCTGGAGTGCTGGAGTAGACTTTACAGAGTTTTTGACTCTTGCATTGTCAATACAAGATCTTGACCAAAAATTGATGGACCTCTTGAAATAACATCACAACATTTATTTCCATCAAGAGGTCCATACATTTTTTGTCAAGATCTTGTATGGACAATTTCGAGCACTTTGTAAAGTCTACTCGTCCCCAGCACATCCCACTTGACTTTCAAAGGATTTAAGGTCTGGACTCAAAGGTGCTAATTCATGTGTGAAAATTATTCTGCTCCCTCCCAACCATTCTTTCACAATTTCAGCCTGATGAATCTTGACATTGTCATCCTGGAATATGGCCATGATGTTTCTTCCTACATGTTTGTTTAAGAAATGAAAAGCTACACACTCCGTCAATTAGGGTTAGAAGAACTGTTACCAAACATATAACATGCTAGAAACATAATAATCACAGCAAAAACTATAATAGACTTTTTTTTGGCTGGGCAGTGTATACTGGATATATTTGACTGTGTGGTTCACTTGGGTCTCAGATAGACTTTAACAATTCAATAATGTTGTGTACAATGCAAAAGTGTAGCATCATTATACTGGGCGTCCCTGGGAGTTGTTCTCTGTTTTCCACACTCTTCTGTAATGTTGTGCATCTGAAAATAGAAAGTGTAGAAGCTTGCTAATCTGTAACTACCTATAACCTGCAGGGTAGGATCCTGACCTTATGCTCTTATGCTTGTGTGTGTGTGTGTGTGTGTGTGTGTGTGTGTGTGTGTGTGTGTGTGTGTGTGTGTGTGAGAGAGAGAGAGAGAGAGAGAGAGAGAGAGAGAGAGAGAGAGAGAGAGAGAGAGAGAGAGAGAGAGAGAGAGAGAGAGAGAGAGAGAGAGAGAGAGAGAGAGAGAGAGAGAGAGAGAGAGAGAGAGAGAGAGAGAGAGAGAGAGAGAGAGAGAGAGAGAGAGAGAGAGAGAGAGAGAGAGAGAGAGTGTTATGCATGCACAGAATCTGATGGATGTTAATATTCAAATGGGGGTTATAAAGCTGGGCAAGTCTAGGCAGAGCTGTATGTTTATGTCTATGGTTTCTAGGTTTCTCTGTTTATCTAACATCTTTTTGTCTAAAGATAATCTGAGGAACAGTAAGAGTGATATCCTGCTTCATCCAAAGATTCGACTTGAAAGTATTTTTCTCCTTTGAAAGTGTGTGCTTCATACTTTTATGTTCTTATTGACTCATACTTAGCAAATAGTCTTTAAATGCATTAGCTAAGAATTGTGAAAAGTGTGTTAAAGTGTTAAAGGCTTCCTCTCAGTAATGACAAACATTGCAGAATTTATTTACTCTGACTAAGAATTACATATGAAACTATTGCATTGTGGAAGGTTGTGGGAGTGGTTTTAATTAAATCCTACAAAAATGTGTTTAAGCTGAAAGCAAGATTGTTCATTTGCCTCCATTTTTGCATGCAACGCCCCCATCTCAAAAGCTATTCAACAACCGATACATATAACGCAAGTCCCCACCCTACATTGTTTTCTTCTTCGATAATCATTTACATTCAGATACACATCACAATATGGAAGAAACAATCTGTCATTGCTTCTGTTTCATTGCAAATGTTTTAAATAGTCCTGTGGTGTCATAAAAATGTTGAATTTTGTTTATCAAAATAGTATTCAGAGAAGTATAGCATATCCAGGGGTGCCGTAATTTGGGGAAGATTAGCACGATTCTAAGGGCTCTGGTCAGACAGGCCCGTTCCTCAGCACCCAACGGCCCCAAAAGAGAAAAATTACGCTCCGCACCCCAGTGGTCAGTTTGTGTGTAAATGTACATTTTTGACCAACGCTTTCCACTTTTGATGTTATTTATAGCAAGAAGTTACTATTATACTAATTAAATATCTGCTTATAACCAAAGCTCGCTCTGTTTTGCTGTAGGTCATTAAACTGTTATGCTGACTCAGAAGTCTGTCCGAAATCAGTATTGTAAGATACTTTCCTGCACAAATGCTGCCTGCAAAGTCATTGCCTGATAGGGCAGCGAGGCAACAAGTCAGCTGTCTAAGTTTTCGGACGCAGCCAGAATGTCAGCTACACCTGCACACACCCATTTACTCCTGAAGCACTTGTTCAGCTTTGAACTCCTTATAACATGTTTGGTACTTGTTCAATGATGTGAATTTATCTTGTAATTTACTTTGTGATTCATTCTCACTGTTGCATGAACAACACAGACCACTGACCTCAATGACGCTGGCAAGGCTGGTACGGGCCTGTCTATTTTTCTTATGTGATCCTCCATTTGCTCACCTGTTGCATCCATTCTGGAATTGAGTTTCAATTACCTACGTAATCGAGGACTTAATCATTTCCCCCCTAAATGTAATAATTTTTTCTTCAAGTGTTCTAAATCTTTTAAATAGCCTACATGAAAGCTTTATATAAATGATCTTGAACTTTCATTTTAAGGTGGGTTCTGTATGTTTTGTTATACCTTCAAATATCCACATCAGGTGGACAGACGTCACACACGTGATGCACCACATGCTTGTGTTACTTAATCCAGCTACATGACCCTTGGGAACCGTAGTAATTGTATAGTTAACCTAAACAAATGTAGGGAAAATCTGATTTTGGAAATCTGAAATTTGTCAATCATTTTCTATACAAATTTCAGGTTCCTAGAGATGCATGCCACTGCACACCAGCACAAGACCACATAATCAAGGTCATTTAAAGCGTTAGATTTCCATTGCAATGTTATGTGCAGGAAATGTAAAATGTCTGTATGAAATAACACATGAGAGGCTTTAAAGAGACAGTTTGTGTACATGAAATACTTTCACCTGAGAATGTATGTGCGTGTGTGTGTTTGTGTGTGAACCATGTCTATGTATGAAGGATTAGAGAGGTTTGGAACAGATTAGTTAATTATAGACACCTGTCTGCTAAGCATGGAGACTGGAGTCAGGTGGATGAGCTTGAAGAGTGTGCTGGACTGCATTCAGCAGGGTGTAGCGCAGGTGGGGGGTAGACCGCAGATGTGAGACCATGTGCCTGTGCACATTCCTTGCATGTGGCCACACTCCAGAAAACGAGTGTTTCATCTGGTGGGACAGTAGCTAGCCTGCAGATCCACTACAGACAGATAAAGCAGTGTCAGTATGTTTAACAAAGACAATTCTTTTCACATCTTCTGTATTTAGTCATCATTTTGTCACTCTAAAAAGGCAGGTCAGTTTTTGAGTATTTATAAGAATATTTATAAAAGCGTATTATTTTATGTAATTAAATGGAGCTTTTAGTGATTTTAAACCTGAAATATCACTGAGAAGGCCTCTGTTCTCATGCACTACTAATTGTTTGAATTGGTTAAATGGATTTGATGGCGTCGTGCTTAGAGATCACGAGAAGCCCCTGCCAATTTCTGCTATGTTAGGCCAGAGTCTGCACAACTGAAAGGTCATCACAGGTCAAGATTGGGATTTCCTAAAATAATCAGTTTTGCCCTGGTCATGTGCAAATAATCCCACATACAACCAATTAACTTTTCGTTATCAGAGTCAGAATCTCGTTCACAGATTTTGCATGAATCTATTTTGCAAATGTTATTGCTTGACAGCTCGCCTGAATCCGTATTTCTGCCATGCATCACTCTTTGATTCCGTTCATTCATTTCAGAGCTCATTAGAGAAGATCAGACCTGGGGAGTAAGATGGAGGGGTTGAAACAATGAGAGAGAGGACGAGGAGTCTCAAGCATATTAGCTGCTACTTACACATAATCTGGGTGTTAGACTCCTCCTTCATGTTGCCCCACGGAGCCCTGAGCAGCACCTCTTTGCCCATTTCACTAGTACCAATGGTGGGATAAGATCAATTCAAAGACAGAGGATTGTGCGTGGAATCTCCTATCCGTCAATTTGATTGATCTTGCAAGGAAGAGTTGCTGATTGCATCAGAGCTATCACTTATTGCACTGCTATCCACCTGGTGCTTTGAGTTTTTGATTGACATTTCTAATGACCTGGACCGGATTTCCTGATGGATAAACTGTAGACAGTATTTCATTCAAAGGAATTTCTATAGGCCATGGCTGTCTAGCAAGCTGCTGTGAAACTCTTCCCTTTTAGTAACTGCACTACAACAGGTAAGATGGATGATGAAAAGTCTCTCAGGATCATCTTGCTTGTCCTTGCAATGTTGTTATTTTTATTTTACAACTTTTGAATAGCGTTACCCTGGTGAATTTTGTGCTTAATTCGGTCTGCAAAGTTTTTTTTTTGCTAAACTTTTATAAGACTGTGTATGTTTCCAGCAAATAAAAAATCAACAAAGTCAACAACGTCAGTAGAAAATGCATGTACGATATATGCCTTTAATATTGTTGCTTGACCTTGATTGCCTTAAATGAACTGATTTCTAAAAAGATCCAAATGAGAATCACTTAATCTCTAAATAACCTGCAGACAAACTCTTTTTGTCACTCACCTCAGACTTCATGTCAGTGCGAACTAATATAGTCACACACACACACACAAATATATATGTATATATAGCCTATACACACACAGTATGTTTTTAATTTGCTTTCACACAATAGGGCAAATTTAAAGTCTCAGTCTTATCAGAATGCTATTCTCAGAACTAATAATTACCAATCAAAACTTTTGGAATTTTTATAATTTAATAATTTAAAGAAGTCAAATGCTATTATTTACAGTGTGAAACCAAAACTCACTCACGCATTGACTTTTGCTACATACTCTCAACTGTTGTGCAACACAATTATTGCTGTGCTCGAATGGCTAAAATTAACCAATCGCCAGGCTTTTATCTCATTAGGACTGAAGCTGTGTGTATCACACAGTCTTTGATTTCTTTGGCATCATTCAGCTTTTCAATCTTGTTCAGATGAGCCGGATTCCAGCTACTTTGAGAGTTCACAATGTACACAAACAGCTTTAGCTTTTGTGTTTCTTTTCTGATTTGGTAGATGTTTTTTTGTTGCATGTGTATTAGCAATTTTTCTTTGCATTTCCTTACATCTTTCCATGCAGGTAATGATAATTGAATAGTACTGGTCCAAAGATGGCCTTTGAGATCCATATAGGCCAATCAATGGTCATCCTGTTGCAATATACTGTTGTTGCATGTATGCGCATAAGTACTGCAAGCCTATGGTTATGTAACCAAACAAGGTTATCTCTGTTGGAGAGGAGAGCTGACTTCTTAGAGCCTTTTAATCCAGACCAGAGTAAAGCTAAACATCTCTCGTGTCATGTGACATGACATGACCACCTGAAGTAGTTGGTATTCAGCTGGTAGACAACAGTAAATGTGATGAAACAATGACAGGCATGTTAGTCATATTCCCAGAAAACCCAGTACTGCTGATGTGATCCCCTCACTTCCCAAAATCCTCAAATTCTCAAGATCCTCAAATCATTGTCCAAAATATGTCATGGTCAGACCTGGACAGATAACATTATATTTGTATTTGCATTCCACTCTGTGGTCTATGGACATCGATTGCATCTGTACAATACGTGCAGTTGTAAGATGTACAAAACGAAATGTAAGATATGAACGCAAGATATATTACACAACATTGCCATTCTGTGTCAATGTGTCTGCAGCACATCTCATACACAAACATATTTTGGTCCCACAAACTGACACCAACAACAATTTGTATCTATGACAATGAATTCATTTAGCTTCAAGTGATAATTTCATGATGGACTTGATTTCACAAGTGTAGCTCACACTGTGTACTAGAGCGTCTTGATTAGATCATTTATATTGACATACTTAACTGTCTGCTCCACTTCTTCCGTCTACCAGTGCCAACAAAATGCAGAAGCAAGTGGAGATCAGAATGCATGAGAATCATTTGGACCCTCCTACAACACCTGAAGAGCCCATGTGTGGAGGCTTATGTGGCAAACTCAGGAAGAACTTGCTACTTACGCTCACAATCCTTGGCAAGTTACTTTAGCATTTTTGTTATTTTAACAATTTGCTAATGGAAAAACACTTGTTACTGTTTGTGGTAAAATATGCATGCATATGATCATTATAATTACCGGAAAGCTTTCACATGCAATATGGCCATGCAGCCATCCATTTATTAGACTCAGTTTTTTAATTAAAGCACTATGTTAAAACACTATTACTCCATGATACTCATCAGACAATATGTTTAATAGATTTGAATTAACACATTATGCAGCAGTTAATTGTTAAACAATATTTTTGTTTGTTTTCCCATAGGAATGTATAGACATCCTTAAAACAAGATGCATTTTTCTGTAACAATTATTATGTAACAATTATTTTACACTGACTTTCTGACCCAAGGCGTCATACATGTGACGCTTTGTACATTTCGTTGAAATCTTACGCACATGGCATCCTTTAGCATCAATATGAGACGCAGAACCCAAGGCGTCATACAGGTGACGTCTAAATCCGACGCACATGGCATCGTTTAGCGTGAATATGAGACGCAGAACCCAAGGCGTCATAACCGTACCCTACCCCAGACCTAAACCTACCCATAACAGTGCGTGTTATATTGACGCTAAAGGATGCCATGTGCGTAAGATTTCGACGAAATGTCATATGGCGTCACCTATATGACGCCAAAGGATGAGAATGCGTTGGACATGCTTATTAAGAGGGACTTTGCCATGGTTTTGTTGTTGTTGTTTGTATGTGACATCAAAGTGCACTCACACTAGTTGGCTGAGTGGTTTATCTTGGATAAATTAAATCTCAGAATCTTATTCAATGGTACTTTTATCGGCGTTCAAGAAACAATTGTGTTCTGATATTGTTATACTTCACAAGAGGTTCAATATTATTTCTCATTGAAATGTCTAATTTCTGTACCCTGATGTTCACTGTGATTTTCTGTGTCTACCTCAGGTGTGATAGCAGGTTCAGTAGTTGGTATGCTACTGCGGTACGCATCACCACTCCCCGCTGATGTCATTATGGTCATTGCCTTCCCGGGTGACATTCTCATGAGGATGTTAAAAATGGTGATTTTGCCTCTGATCATCTCAAGTTTGATCACAGGTACTGTTATACGCTTTGCTAAACACCTCCAACAATGCCATCATTGTAAAAAAATAATACCTTTTTTTTTTTTTTTTTTTTGCTATGTATATGCTGGTAAACCAGCATAAATATAGCTGCATCAGCAATGTGATATTGATATATTGACCATTAATATGCGTATTTATCTCAAAGACCATCAGCAATGAATTCAGACACAGAAATAACCTGCATGCAATGACTTTGGAGTCAAAGTAATAACCACAATGTTACAGCTTTTATAATAGCTTTTACAATTTGAATTATGGAATATCTACAGAAGTGGTGATTTTGTGGAAGTCTTTTTTTTTTCAACTTTCTTTGTAATTCAGTATAAGATCAAATAAAATAAAAAAGCATGCCTATTAAATTTAGGGCGGATCAGTTTCAGTGGTATATGAGCAGAACATGTTTAGACATGTTAGCAAAAAAAAAGTAAATAAAAAATTCAAAACATTCCAAATTTGTTACTCATTCACTAATCACAGAGAATAATTATAAATCTGAGAAACTTTTGCCTATAACTTTTAGTAAAACTGCCTTGTGAAAATGCAACTAGTATCAGTAGCAAAAAAAAAATGTAATTTATTTTGTAGGATTAGCAGGGTTGGATGCCAAGTCCAGTGGTCGTTTGGGCACAAGGGCCATGGTGTACTACATGTCTACCACCGTCATCGCAGCTGTGCTTGGGGTGATCTTGGTGCTCCTCATCCACCCCGGTAACCCCAAACTGAAGGCAAACCTGGGTGAAGGGAAAAAGAATGATGAAGTGTCCAGTTTAGATGCCTTGTTTGATCTCATCAGAAATCTGTTTCCAGAAAATCTTGTTCAGGCTTGTTTCCAGCAGGTGTGTGTATCCAATGTGCTTTTGACTTCATATTATTTTATTAATTTAATACTTTATTTTTGTAACTCTTTCATCTGTTATTTCTCATTAGTCATCATTAATATACGGTGACGGAATTATTAATAATAAACAGTTCTTCAATCTCTTTATGTAGATCCAGACTGTTACTAACAAAGTAGAAGTAGCTCCTCCTCCAGTTCCAACTCGATTTGGACGAAATTCTACCAAGGGTGCAGCAAAATATGTGATCAAGAAGTCTCTTCAATTCAAGAGCGGCATGAATGTGTTAGGTATTAGATGGCTTTGATTCCATGATATATTCATGAAAGTGTCGTTTGTATATATATAGTCATGTACTTCACATTAACATGGTGGCATTGTGTGTTTCTCTAGGTATCATTGGGTTCTTTGTGGCATTCGGCATTTGTATGGGAAAGATGGGAGAAAAGGCCAAGCTGATGCTCGATTTCTTCAACGTTCTCAACGAGATCGTTATGAAGCTTGTCGGCATGATCATGTGGTCAGCTTTTATGATTGTTAATGAGTAAAGTTTACATGATGTCCATGTTCTACCTTTAGTAGTCCATTTGACTGATTTATTAACTGACATATATAAATGTTATGCTCACCAAGGCTGCATTTATATGATAACAAATACAGTAAAACAATGATATTGTGAAATATTATTACAATTTAAAAGAAGTGTTTTCTATTTGAATATATTTTAAAATGTAATGTATTGCTGTTATGGTAAAGCTGAATTTACAGCATCATTACTCCAGTCGTCAGTGTCACATGATCCTTCAGAAATCATTCTAATATGCTGCTCAAAACACATTTCTTATTATTATCAATGTCAAAAACAGTCAAAAACAATATTTTTGTGGAAACCGTGATGCATTTTTAAAAAAGATTTTTTGATTAATAGAAAGTTTAAAAGAACAGCATTTATTTGAAGCAGAATTTTTTTGCTACATAATGTAAATGTCTTTATTGTCACATTTGTTTAATAGTGCTTTAATAGTGTTTAATTTAATGCGTCCTAGCTTGCTGAAGAAAAGTACTCATTTATTTTTGAGAAATCTTACTGAACAGTAGTGTTAACCTTTAACTCTATTTGAACTGACTTTCTGTCTCAGTTTGTTTCCTGTTCAATTACTGATTCATCTGTTATTTTAACACAGTCTCATCCCAAGTTTGCTGCACGTCTCTGTCTTGTAACAGGTATTCCCCCGTTGGTATTGCGTGTCTGATCTGTGGGAAGATTATTTCAATTAATGATCTGGAGGTGGTGGCCAGGCAGCTTGGAATGTACATGGTCACTGTCATCGTTGGACTTTTCATTCACGGAGCCATTTTCCTTCCCTTAATATATTTTGTTTTTGTTCGGAAAAACCCATATACATTCTTCATGGGAATTTTCCAGGCTTGGGTCACCGCTTTAGGAACAGCTTCTAGGTAAATAATATAACTTTTCCTCTAGTTGTGCCATGGTTTTACCTTTGAGAATTTTTAGACACATCGAGTTAAAGAGAGGGAAGGCTATTGTTTCATTTGGCATCTTCAGAAATTGAATAATGGCAAGAGTAAATCGGAAATCTTGATATGCCTCTTTTGTAGTGCTGGGACATTACCTGTCACTTTCCGCTGTCTGGAGGAAAATCTGGGCATTGACAAGAGAGTCACTCGATTTGTATTACCTGTTGGAGCAACGATCAACATGGACGGTACAGCGCTTTATGAGGCAGTAGCGGCCATCTTTATTGCCCAGATGAATGGAATAGAACTTGATCCTGGTCAGATAGTGACAGTCAGGTAAGACCAAACGTCTAGACACAGAAATGCATGTAAATATGTGCTTTACACCATAGACCAATTTCGAGCCGACGTCACCGTTACGTCACGGCACTAGCTGGAGGCAAAACAAAGGGAAAACTGGAGGCGGCCAATACAAACCAGCACAGATTCGGCTACATAATAAGGAGCTTAAATTATTATTATTATTATTAAATGTCATCTTGTTGTGTTGTTGGGTGCAAGAATCGATGCAAAATGAATATGCTGCATCTGGAATTTTTATTTTTTCTAGAAAATATTCACTTCATTAAAATTGCACCATATATGTCACTCTTTACATTGTCTTCTTCTTGGCGCTGGCTAGGCAGAACTGCGGATCGTACCACACAAGTCTTGTACATGACCATTCAGCACATAGTTATAGGCATCTAAAGATTTATATGCCCTCAGTTTCTTTTTCCGCTCTGTTTCTCTATCAGGTAACGTTAGGTGTAGATGTCAGGCCACTCAACCGGAGGTAGCGTTAGCGTTAATCCTGTCAGATCGTCCATCCATTGAGTGAGCGTCTACGGGTCAGCCAATCTGGTTCCGTCCGTTAAAATTAACTTTTGCAAATAACAATCGCGGCCCTGGACAGTGAGTGACCTTACACATTAAGATAAAATTGGATTTTGTCCAGTTATTGTTAAAAACAAGCTAACAAAACTTGCAAACTAACGTTAGGGAAGCGGCCAGAGGGATCGTTCTGCCTCCACCTAAGCTCCGCCCACAAAAAACGTCACCATGTTTACTAACTGAAAAGGGTTCCATTATTCACTTAAATGAAAATTCAATCATGGTTTTCTCATCCTCATGTTGTTCCAAACCTGTTTACCGCCTTTTTGTCTGTGGAACAAAAACTGAAAATTCTTGCCATACAACATTTTTAGTGATCATGTCTGCAAGCAACTGGTTCATTGAAAAGAATCAGCTCAAAATAGTGATTCCTTTTATGAGTTGGACTGATCCGGTTCTTGAGAACTCTTTGTGGCACCCTTCCTGAGAACTCGATCTAGTAACAGCGCTTAACAACAACCCATCAGTGGGATGATTATTAGTAAATGAAGACTTAAATTTCAGTGTGTCTGTCATATACAGCTATCATATTGTTTTTAGAAGGCTTGGGAATATATATTGTAGTATATTTTATAGCTTTACAGATGTGGTCACCATGACCTGTTGCTATATAGCTGTTTGAAGATTCTTTGAAACTTCTCTTGAGTTCCACAGAAAAGACAAATCACATGCAGAGTATGAGTTTGGATTGACATGAAGGTGAATAAATATTGACAGAATTTACATTTTTAGGACAATTTAGGGACCTTTAGTGGTCTGCACGCTACTTGTTTGAAACAAATGTTGATAAAATCCCATGAATGAGAGCCAAGTGATGTATTATTCTTAAAGTTTGCAACTAATCAAATGAAAAATGTATGTTTTGTTTGTAGCCTTACAGCGACTCTCGCTAGCGTAGGAGCAGCCAGTATTCCCAGTGCTGGTCTGGTGACGATGCTTCTGATCTTGACAGCTGTGGGACTACCGACTCAAGACATCAGTTTACTGGTAGCAGTCGACTGGTTACTGTAAGTTAAATCAATCTCTTTCCCTGCTGATTTAGTGGTACACAAATTTTAGCTCAAGGATTAGTTGTCAATCAAAAAGTATCTCCAGTTCAAGATTTAGTGTCATGGCATGTTTAACCATTTGCTTTGCATGTTGATACAAGCCCTAATGGCATTTGGAGTCGTTTAGCCTGGAGAGATGTGGTACCTTTCTTTGTTTCCTCCTGCTTTATCAAACAGGGACCGTTTCCGAACATCAGTCAATGTCGTTGGTGACTCGTACGGGGCGGGAATCGTGTACCACCTCTCCAAAGATGAGCTCGACCTATTTGATGCGCAGCAAAGGCCAGATGACTTTGAGATGGCCAAGACACAATCTTTTTTTGAGAATAACACTAACCACGGTGTATATACATCTCACAACTCCTATCAGCCGGTCCAGATAGATGACTGCAAGGTACATTTCACTCTCACAGACATAGAAACCTGTATGTAGATGCTTTTATTTCTTTCCCCGACATTGTATGTATCATTGTGATTTTTTTTTTTACACTTTTGTATTTTTTGATCATTCCTGATGTGAAGGCATAAGAAATGAAACAAAACGATAAAATAAATAAATATGGTTTATTTATTTGTTCTGGTACTCAGTGAAATAGCAGTTTTTGTGCAGGCTTTGTATATCCTTATCAGTATTGGGATATGATCTATTTTGGCAATGCGTGTGTACAGTTATGCATTTACATTTTTGTATTGTACTAATGCCAATCTGCCTTTGGCTGTTCTCAACAAAAAATGAAAGTGATTCAAAGCATTAATGCGCACCTCATTTTTACCATCTACATTTTGAGACGACAAAGGCTGCTATTTCATTCTTTCAAGCTGAATGTTTTTAAGCTTGACAGAAAAGTGATTGTTTGCATCAGTAAGAAAACGTACTCGGTTACTAACGTAACCTCGGTTCTCTCTAGAGAGGGAACGAGTACTGCGTAATAGCTTACGCTAGGGGAAAAACTCTTTTCCGCGAGATATTGAAGCCAAAAATTATCCTTAATTTTTTATTAATGTAAAACGCTTTGCAGCAGCAAGCAGACATAGGCGAAACAGCTCGCGCGCCTATTGGTTGCTCTGCAGCAAATGCAGCAGCCTATCGAGAGAGACTCTGCGTGACGTAATGACCAATGGGGGCAATTCGCGCCCATATCGTCACGTCCCGCCAGAAGGGGCGTGGTCTCACCCTATAAATATGCTCGTTAGGCTGATACAAGCTGGTTTTTATCACTGAAGCGAACCAGAGCGTATACCAAGCACGGCAAGATACGCAGTACTCGTTCCCTCTCTAGAGAGAACTGAGGTTACGTTAGTAACCGAGTACGTTCTCTTACGAGAGTATCTCTCGTACTGCGTAATCGCTTACGCTAGGGGAACACAATGCAACACGCCGTGCGTACAGGGATCCAACACCAAAGTCCCGGGGGCCGAAGCCCAGGGCTCATGTAGTGCATAATCACCATAAACTCACATAGAGTGTAGGAAGAGAGGCTGGAAGCGTCATTCCCTATAAAAAAGCACCCAGCGGGGCTATTATATGACAATAAAACGCGCAGCCAGGGTGAAAGCTTTCAGCCTGATCTGGGTGGCCATACGTGTGTCAACACTCATGGGGCTGCAGTAAACTCAGCATCTGGGCCGCACAGCGGGGCAGATAGCACTGAATTTTAGACCGCCAAAAGCTTAGCTTGTAAGGCGGGTACCTCCAGGTTATAGTATTTTATAAATGTAGACGGCGAGGCCCAGCCCGCGGCCGTACAGATATCTTGCAGGGAAACCCCGCTCGACCATGCCCACGAAGAGGCCACGCCTCTCGTGGAGTGCGCCCTGACACCCAAGGGGCACTGTAGGCCCTTCGCAGAGTAAGCGAGCGCAATGGCATCCACTATCCATCTGGATAGGCTCTGTTTTGAGGCAGCGAGTCCCTTGGAACGCCCGCCAAACAAAACAAAAAGCTGCTCCGTCTGTCTGAAAACAGACGAGCGTGACACATAAGCTCTCAATGCCCTGACGGGGCAAAGGAGACTCGCATCCTCCTCCTCACTGAGAACCGGAAGGGCGGACAGGGAAATTACCTGGGCCCTGAACGGTGTATTGAGGGATTTCGGGACATACCCGTGCTTTGGTTTGAGAATGACCTTCGAGTCATTAGGCCCAAACTCCATACACGACGCGCTTACTGAAAGCGCCTGTAAGTCCCCTATGCGCTTCACTGAAGCGAGAGCCATGAGAAACACTGTTTTGAACGACAGGTGTTTCATGTCCACCAGCTGGATTGGCTCGAACGGGGCGCCTTTCATGGCCTCCAGGACCGTGGAAAGGTCCCACGTCGGGACTGAAGGGGGCCTGGGAGGGTTCAGCCTCCGAGCTCCCCTAAGGAAACGCACGACTAAGTCGTTTTTCCCCAGCGACTGGCCAGACACCGGTTTTGCAAACGTTGCTATGGCCGCCACATATACTTTGAGCGTGGATGGGGTCCTGCCCTTATCCAGTAGCTCTTGAAGGAAGGAAAGCACTTCCGAAACCCCGCATTCCACAGGTGAAAAGCTCTGGGCTTGACACCATGCAGAGAAAACAGACCATTTCGAGGAGTAGAGCCGCCTGGTAGACGTAGCTCTAGCCTGCGCGATCGTGTTTAACACTCCTTCTGGGAGGCTAGCGGGTACCCGTTGATGGCCCATGCGTGCAGGGACCACAACTCCGGGCGAGGGTGCCAAATCGAGCCCTCCGCCTGAGAGAGGAGGTCTCTCCTCAATGGTACAGGCCATTGGGCAGTGCTGGTCAGCTGCATCAGGGCAGGGAACCACGTCTGGTTTGTCCAGAGCGGAGCTACGAGCAGCACTGGGCATCCGTTCTCCCTGATTCGTTCCAACACCTGAGGCAGGAGCGAGACAGGAGGAAAAGCATATAGGGGGCAGCGGGGCCAAACATGAGCCAGCGCGTCCTTGCTTTTCGAGAAAAACTCCGGGCAATGAGCGTTTTCGTGGGACGCGAATAGGTCCACCTGTGCTCTGCCGAACGTTTTCCACAGCAGCTGGACCGTCTGCGGGTGCAGCGACCATTCCCCTGCTGGAACATTGTTCCTGGACAGTCTGTCTGGTCCCACATTCAGGTGACCAGGCACGTGCGCTGCTCTCAGTGAGAGCAGGTTGTGCTGAGCCCAGACCAGGAGGCGTTCCGTCAGCCTGTGAAGGTTTCGTGACCTGACGCCGCCCTGGCGATTTATGTATGCCACCACTGACATGTTGTCCGACCGGACCAAGACGTGGTGGCCTGTTACCTGGGGACAAAAACGCCGTAGCGCTTTGTCGACTGCTATCATCTCCAAGCAGTTTATGTGAAGGAGCTTTTCCCGTTCTGACCACAGGCCAGCTAGCGGTCTGCCCTCGAGCAGCGCTCCCCACCCCGAGGTGGAGGCGTCCGTAGACACCACCTTCACACTCGAAGCGGTCCCCAGACTCACACCTGACTGATACCAGTCGGTTATTTTCCAAGGTTCCAGAGCTGAAACACACTGAAGGTCGACCCTGAGGCGAAACAGACCCGCTGTCCATTCTGCAGTGGGCGCATGCGGAGCAAGCCCAACTGGAGTACAGAGGCTGCTGAGGCCATCAGCCCCAGCATTTTCTGAAACCTTTTGAGCGGAACTATCGCGCCGTGGCGGAAGGATTTCGCGCCGCGCTGAATATTTAGCCCGCGCTCTGGTGACAGGCGTGCTGTCATGGACAGCGAGTCCAACACGGTTCCCAGAAAGGAAATTCTCTGACTGGGAGACAGTGAGCTCTTCGCCCAATTGACTGTGAGGCCCAGCTCCTCGAGGTGCTCGAGTAATGCGGCCCTGTGTTCTATGAGCTCCGATCGTGATCGAGCTAGAATCAGCCAATCGTCCAAGTAGTTCAGGACTCGCATGCCCTGAAGTCTCAGGGGTGCGAGCGCCGCGTCCATGCACTTCGTAAATGTACGAGGTGCTAGGGACAGGCCGAACAGCAGGACTGTGTATTGATATGCCTGGCCCCCGAAAGCGAATCTCAAGAATCGCCTGTGATGGGACGCCATTTGTATTTGGAAATAGGCGTCTTTCAGATCTATTGACATAAACCAGTCCCCGTGGCGCACTTGCGCGAGGATTTTCCTGGTCGTAAGCATTCTGAACTGGCGCTTCACAAGCGCTCTGTTCAGCTGTCGCAGATCTAAAATGGGTCTGAGACCTCCATCTTTTTTCGGTACCAGAAAATATCTGCTGTGTAGGCCCCCTTTGCTCTGAGTTTGAGATAAAGGTTCTATAGCACCTTTGCTCAGTAGTTTCGCTATCTCGGCTCGAAGTAGATGAGATACTTCGTTTTCCACCGTCGTCTCGACGCGCGCCGTATAACGGCGGGGACGTCGAGCGAACTGTAGCGAATAGCCTCTATTTATAGTGTTCAGCACCCATTCTGATACCCCAGGAAGCTGTGCCCACACTTTCGCGTGAATAGCTAGGGGTAGAATGAGATCTGGGCTCTGGCCGAGACATAGTGACGGCAAGAGAGCTCCGGTGTGCTGTAACGCAGACACTGTGTTTACAGTGTGTGAGGCGGGGGGCGCGCCGATCGCGGCGGGCAGCCTGGCCGCGCTCAAAACCCTTATAGCAGTTTGCTGAGGGAGAGAGAGCGGGGCGAGCCCCGTGGGGCTTAACATGTCTGTGAGTGAATGTGGGCGCAGGACAGCGGGCACATTTACTGCACTGAAAAACACCGTCGGCCTGAGCTGACTGAATGCGTGTTGGTTTCGTTTTTACAGAACCCGTGGGACATGTGGTGTGTAGTGTTTGTGGGCACTGAGACGTAGGCACATTCACTACATTTAGTGCACAATCGACATGAGGCGATTTTGTTTGTGCGAGCCCTGCATATTTGCGGGCTGTGTTTGTGTGTAGAAATGAGCCCTGGGTTGTAGGCATTTTCAATACACTCATAACACCATCGGCTGTGGCCGGAATACCAGAAAATACACCATTTATGTGATTTATCTGGGTTGCCGTGGGAACAGCATTTGTGTGCAGGCAAGCGGGCATGGTACTGGCTTGCTTACTGCAAAATACACTGGAACAGTCACATTTTCTGGAACTGAACGAGCGAAAATTTCAGTGGAAGTCTGGCCACGCGAGACTGAAACACCGTCGATTTCCTAGGAGGCTAGCCTAGGAAGACTTGTGTTGGTTTCGTTTTACAGAAACCGTGGTAGTGTTTGTGGGCACTGGGTTGTGGGCACATTTACTACATTTGATGCACAATTGACATGCGTCGATTTCATTTGTGCGAGCCCTGTACCGTGGCGGGCTGTGTTTGTGTGTAGAAATGAACACTGGGCTGTGAGCATTTTATTACACTTATAACACCATCGGCTGTGGCCGGAAAACCAGAAATACAATGATTACATGATTTTTCTGGGTCGCCGTGGAAACGGCCTTTATGTGCAGGCAAGCGGGCCGTGGTACCAGCTTGTTTACTGCAAAATACACTGGAACAGTCGCATTTTCTGGAACTGAACGAGCGAAAAGTTTTTGGTAGAAGTCTGGCCGCGGCGAGACTAAATTTTTATCTGCTGCGAGAGCCGGGATCGAACACGGGTCTCTCGCGTGAAAGCTACGGGTTCCGCCACTGGGCCACAGGGAGAACTACTCTAGTGCAAGCAGATAAGAGAGCGTCATCACAGTTTTGTGTGTGTCGGCGTTTGTATGCAGGTGTGCGTGTTATACAACAGGCTCATTGCTGCAATAATGACATTTTCAGCCGCTCAAACTAGGAGCTGAGAAATGTTTAAGAAATGGAGATTAGTCCGGCCTCGGCGGGGACTAAAACACACTCTTCTCTCATTTGCCGGTGACGCACGCCCATGGGGGGCGGGGTAGATTTCTTATAACGTAAAGAAAGCTAGCCGCGGTTTTAGGGCTCGCGGTCTTGATGCTGGCCCGTTTCCTTGACAACTCGCGGACAGAAGGCGGAGGTCCACAGAGCTCGCCTGTTGCGCGGCGGTTGCGCGGGCGCCTCCCAATCGAGGCCGATGCTTTCCACGGCCTGAGAGAGCAGACGCATCAGCTCAGTCTCAATGCCGGCTCTCTTACCAGTGGTCTGGCGGGAAACGCTAGCGGAGGGGAGATCCACGGGGCTCGCCCAATCCTCACTATCGGATGCCAGAAGAGAACACGCCTCGGTGGGTTCGTCAAACTCGTGGATGGACGCGGCGGCAGGCGGCGGCCGTTGTCCGTCAGTGAGCGACTCGAGCGAAGCCGGCGAAGCTGGCGGGCGAACCGGCGAGCTTTGGCGGGCTGGAGAGAGCTCGGGAGCGCGCGGCACCACGGCGGGCTGCGGTGAAGGCTCGGAGAATGATGCCAGGCGAGTCCTCAGAGTCACCATGGGCAAAAGCTCGCAATGAGGGCATCCGCCGTCAGCGAGCGCGAGAGCCGCGTGATCCTCACCCAGGCAGGAAACACAGATGACTTGCCGGTCTCCATCGCTGAGCGGGGCGCGGCACGAGCCACAGGAAGGCATCTTTAAAAAGACGCAGCTCTTTTGTGAGAGAAGTGTGAGTCGCGTCAAGTAAGCGAGCAAACACTCTCAACAGAGTAAATACACAGAGTATGAAAGGATATATAACGCCGGAAAGCGCAGCAGGTACGGCAGTTGAAGGCGGCGAGGCCAGCGACTCCAGAGCTCGTCCCGCTGAAAGGCTTGCTTCGACGGCGCGGCTTCTCACTCCGGATCCAGCGATGGGTGTGCTTCGCTGAAGAGGTAAAAATCAGCTTGTATCAGCCTAACGAGCATATTTATAGGGTGAGACCACGCCCCTTCTGGCGGGACGTGACGATATGGGCGCGAATTGCCCCCATTGGTCATTACGTCACGCAGAGTCTCTCTCGATAGGCTGCTGCATTTGCTGCAGAGCAACCAATAGGCGCGCAAGCTGTTTCGCCTATGTCTGCTTGCTGCTGCAAAGCGTTTTACATTAATAAAAAATTAAGGATAATTTTTGGCTTCAATATCTCGCGGAAAAGAGTTTTTCCCCTAGCGTAAGCTATTACGCAGTACGAGAGATACTCTCGTAAGAGAACTGCAGTGTTTGCCAATTTTTCACTGCACTTGAGTAGACATTTTGACCCTGTGTTTCAAAAATGCATAGGTCTGTGTGGTAGCACACGTGGCACTTTTAGAAGATTAGCTTTGGGCAGAGATTCACTGCAATAAGGAAAAAAAATGCAAAGTTTGTATATACAAAATATAATAATTCAAATGATTTTCTCTATCTGTATTCAGTCTTTCAGCATTCTGTAAGGAATCCCGCTGCAGCTAATTATTATCTGTCTTGTGGTGGGTACATTTCTGTGAATTTGGATATAAATTATACTGTTAAAATATCAGACTCTCTGCTCCAAACCATAAACAGTTTAGTTAGCACCGGTTAATGCATTTTGACTGTGCCTTGGTCCAACAGTTAGTTGTCCCTGATAATTGCTTTCAGGTAACCTTGGCCTCAAATGGTTCCCCTGCGGAGTTCTCACTTGTTGAGGAGGAACCATGGATACGCGAGTAACACAGCACACAGATCCAGCTCCGCCTTATCCTGAGTCCCACAAGCTTATCCTTTCTGGTGAAAACCAAATGCTAATTTTATACATATAAATAAACAATCAGAAGTTACCACAGAACTTTTCACATGCACAAGCACTGACTTTTGTATGACAATCTCAGTTCATTTGATTCACAAAGAGAAGAGAATGTAGCTCGAAAGTAGCTGGTGCTCGGAGTGGTTCAGCTGGTTCAGCCTCATACATAATTTTTCACACTCAAGGATTTTGATAGTTCTAGGCCTTGGGTTTGGCGATCGATCTGAAACCTGCTGCCTTAAGGCTACCACATAGAAGGATCACAATGGCTTGTCCAGCCTGGGACCCCAGACTGACCCTAGAGCACTACTAGTGGCAGGAGGAGAGAAGTGCAGTTTGTTTGCTGAAGATACCTTTGACTGGCTTGGCTTGGCTTAGGTGGATTAACCCTTGGTGGCGGCACTCCAGATCAGCCTCTTATAAGAGCTTACCAATGTACTTAGAGGTTCTGAAATAGTGGTTTGCCTCTAAATGCTGCCACTTATTTTTAGATGCCACCCGACGTAAATGCCACGTCAGCAATTACAGAGTGATTAGACATGAAGTTGAGTTGATTGGTGTTATCTGAAAGGAATGGTGGCTTTAATATCCTACATAGTGGACTGCATAAGAAGATATTCAGATATTTATGCGTGTTTTTGTTTGAGGGAAGGGACTTGCATGTGTGTAGGTTTTGTACGTATCTGTGTGCTTTGTTAAGTTTAGATTTATTTATGTATTTATTTGCTAAGTTGCAATCTTGCCTTGAAGACATCAACTGCAAACGGTGCAGCCAGAAGACTTTATGACATTAATATCAAATGCAATCCCATTTTCTTGGATCGTAGATCAATAATAGTGTTCTGCGTTCACACTGCAGGGGCTTAATGCTCAATTCCGATTTTTTGAAAAAATTCGATTTTTTTGCAATGCCGTTTATATTTCCAATTAAATGCGACCTTTTGTGATCTCCTGTGTGAACGTGAAATGACCCAGAAGTGACCCGCATGCAGAGTACTCAACGGTCAATTCCCGCCTACTTCAACGCAGAATTATGAATCGCATATCAATGACGTGCGGGTCGGATACATGTGACCTGGCCGTTCAGATTGAAGTCGCATTTCAAAAGATCGGATACATATCGGATTTGGACCACATACCCAAGTGGCTTGGGTCGCATTTGAAAAGATCGGATCTGTGTCGTTCAGACTGTCATGAAAAGATCAGATACAGGTCGCATAGGGGCAAAAAAATCGGAATTGGGTCGTTTCAGCCTGCAGTGTGAACGTAGCCTTTGATTCTCTGAGGAGCCATTTTGGATACTCAGATATTAAGTCCAGTTGAATGGATTCTATATACGTGCTGATAATAGAGGCTCTTATGTTGGTTGGTGCTCAGGTTGGTAGCATGTTATGAGATGACAGAATTGAGATTTACCATTAAATCTGCACCATTTAATTTAGTAGTTTTTAATTATTATAGCAACACAATAAACATTTCTCTGTTGCACCAGAATCTTAAAATGTTCTCATTAAAGTGCCTCCTTGCACTTTCTGTAAATAATTAAATACACATATATACATATGCTGTCATATTTTAGATATATTTTTCATGCAAACTTAAGTGTCGTATTTATTTCATCTCTTTTTTGTCTGTTGTTTTATAAAACAACGGCATTTCATGTATTCACTTGAGTATATTATTTTACTAGGTAGATTAGAGTGTAACAGGTTGTCTTAGTTATCACTATGTACCGTATACGCCACTTGGAACAGGTGGCTGTGAAACACTGACTGATGAATAAAAATGTATGTATGGACTGTAAGCATATTTTTCACTGTTATTTTGTCTCAAAATTTGTGTATTGTTAAACATTTTGTTAGGGATAATGACACTAGGGGAAAAAGTCAAATTACTAATAATTATAAACCAGGCTTGCTACAGATTTGACAGCCCTGTAGAGTGCAGATAAAATAAAGTGCAACCTACAGTAGATACAGTATCTGTAATATAAATGTGAGCACTGTTGCAATATCTGTTTAGGCAGGGCCTGACACATCTGGTACTGTGATGTATGGTATACATGTGACTATCCTACTATTTTTATTTGTGCAACTCTGTTTGGTTACAAAGACATTGTATACCTTTGTCTACCAAACTGTCCACTTTTTAATTTGTCTTTTTCCTCTATTTTTCTATGAAATACCTATAACAAATTGTAAATAAAGGCAATGCTTCTTGTCTCAAAGTGTTTCTTGTTTTTCTTCAATTTTCAAGTCTTTAGGCAATGGGTGTCAAATTAATTTTATTAAAATATGTAAATGCTTTTACTATCTGTAGATTTTATTGAAAGAAATGTGCTCTAAGCTGGCAAAATATGTCTTTATGGGTAATTTAATAAATGCAAAGATTTACAATTGCCTCATTGCAATACAAACTGGATATGGTATGGTAAACTCTATTTATAAAAGACAGGGCAATGTCTAACATTCAAAAATGCATAATTTCTCACACAGTACATAGTACTTACAAACAGATGAAAACCAGTACAAAATGTTTTCTCACCATATCATTCTTAATCGTCAGTCAATAAGAGATAATACGCATTTTCTATTATTGAAATAATACTTTAAAAAGGAAAAGAAATATTAAATGTAAAAAAAAAAACAATTCTGAAGCAACAAAATGGGAAAAAATTGCACTATTTTTTGAAAAACAAAGAAAAAGTAAAAAGTCATCAGTGCAAATAAAAGCGACAGCAGAGTTTTCAAACCTACACAGTATCCTTTTTTTTTACTATTTAAAGATACTTTTTATTTGGCATACTGTGTATTATTATTATTTTTATCTATTTTGAGAGCTTTATTTAAAGCTCAGGCTCTGGCAATGTTAGCCATTTCTCTCCATCAGCTTAATCTGTGTTACATTAAATACTCTTTCTCATGCTCATCCAGACAGGTAGCTGTAATGTCCTCTGTTTTACCATTCAGGGCCGTAACACTCATCAGTGCCACTATCTCCTGCTCTTTCTCTGACAATGGCAGTGTTTCTGTTTTACTGTAGTCTTTGTTGTGCTCCTCAGTCGTGATGTTTGTGCTCTGTCTCGGTCCATACCACCTAAGTAATGAGTTACATTCAGTAAACTAAAGCCAGGCTTCAATGTCTGATAATAGTAATGAATTTAGTGAAGAAGAAAAAAATCTAAGAAGTAAACTTACTTGTCTCTAGTGGCAATAGCAGCAAGTATGCATACAATGGCTCCAATAACCACACAGAATGCAAAGATTATCAACCAAGCTGCAAAGGAGAGAAACATTGTAAATTGACAGATTTACATTATGTCAGTTGAATAAAAAGTGAAGAAACTGATGGCATCTGCAGTGCTTTCACATGAACTTACTAGATGGTCCCTCCCCTTTTCTGGGTGATATTGGATGAAGGATTCGAACTTGACCTGCATTGAAGATACATTTGTAATGAGACATGATAACTCAAAATATTACGTATTACAAAATTGACCAACATATTTAAGCATCTAAGTTATGTACCACTTGATGATATTAAACATTAATGTCAATTAAAATGTAGCTTATTTATGTAATAATAATCAATGGCCAAACTAAATGTGCAAAGATGGATCTAAATCCGTTTGAAGCCTGTTTCCAGGTTAAAAAATGGGTCACACTTTATTTTATTTTGATGGTCCCTTTTGAACATTCTGTTGACTTTAAGTGACTTTGTAACTACATGTCAACTAACTTTCATTAGAGTAATAGTAGACTGTCTGCTTAATATCTGCTAACATTTTATTGCGATGGTCCCCAACAGACATTCGTCTGCCTATAAGTAAGTATATGTCAACCTAACAGTCTACTAATACTCGACACGTAGGACATGTGGGTGATTGATTGATCTGTTGATTGATCTGTTGAGGCAGAAACATGTTGGCCGAATATATAAGAGGGCTATGGTGTGGTGTGGATTTTGTGGGGACATTTACCTTCAGAACTGGTGTTCAAGTTTGAAGCCACGTTTTGAACCTCAAGTGTATCTTGTGTGGATTTTTTTTCAGCAGCCTCTATGGTAATCGACCTTACTGTGAATTGACTAGGCTCAGGCTCTGATGCTGATCCACTCCCCTCTGTATCAGGGAACAAAACACTGGGGGCAACAGAGGATGAGCTCGACTCAAAACTGGGCTTGTTTGCAGGCCCTTTAGTGTCCAAGGTAGGAACAGTAGAAGGTTTCATGTCCACATCAGGAAGAACTGTTCTGGGGACCTCCATGCCATCCAAAGGGGAAGTTTCTCTTTTTACTCTTCCCATTATCTCCTCCAAATATACTAGAAAACCCTCCGTCTTGACCTCTTTAAGAATGTCTTCATGTGGCTTTTCACCTTTGCAAGAAATCACATAAAATATTACGGTAGTCAAACAGCTTAAATATTTAAGTGATACATCAGTGTTTTGCATTGCTGTGCTTACACCAAAACAAAATAGAAGATTAGAAGGTCGCGTTTTATTAAAGGGATAGTTCACCCAAAAATGAAAATTAAGTCATTAATTACCCTCATGTTGTTCCAACCCCGTAAGACCTTCGTTCATCTTCGGAACACAAATGTAGATATTTGTGATTAAATTTGAGAGCTAGATCACTGCTACATAGGCTTCCTAAGGGAGTGAAACTTGACGGCCCAGAAAGTCATTGATGAAAATGTTTAAATATTCCATGTGACTACAGTGGCTCAACTCTAAGTTTATCAAGCGACGAGAATACTTTTTGTGCGGAAAAAAAAAAGTCACTTGGACTATTTAAACATTTTCTTCAATGACTTTCTGGGCCGTCAAGTTTCACTCCCTTAGGAAGCCTATGTAGCAGTGAGCCAGCTCTCAAATTTAATCCAAAATATCTTAATTTGTGTTCCGAAGATGAACGAAGGTCTTACGGGGTTGGAACAACATGAGGGTGAGTAATTAATGACTTAATTGTCATTTTTGGGTGAACTAACCCTTTAATGTTAAACTACGCAGATACTTTGCTATGTTAGTACAGAGTGAATGGTCAAACAATAATGAACACGTATTTACATCCTAAGTATTCAAGTCAAATCAAATCAAATCAGCAACTTTTTTTTGCTCCTCCTTCATTGTGGTACTGCAGGTGCGTAAAAATGTCTGAGGTCACAGAGATATGACTAATGTTCTGGATTAGGCGTGGTTGGATTATGAACAATGAAGTGTATGTCTGCTGTGAATATGTCTTGATTCTTCACAATACACACCCCTCAACTCAAAAGGTAAAGCTAATACACTAAGTCTAAGCAATCTAATTAAAAATGTCTTCAATAAAGTACAGTATATCAAAATCTAAATCGACGCACTGCACGGAATAAGAAAGGGAACTTACTTTCTGTGGCCGTGATTCCATTGGTTGCACCCTCAGAGTTACTTTTAACAGTATATTCACAGTTTGATGAATCTTTGAGAGAAGGAAAATGAAAAGTCAACTAGATATCTGTTTTTATATTGTTTCTCAAGACACTCCATTCTCTTTACACTTACCTGATGGGTTAAAACAGTAAACATCAGAAAGATATTCTGCTGCTTTAGGGTGGAAGGTGACCTCTGTGGAACTGGAGTCACAGTTTGGAGCATTAACGTGTGGGAGGAACGTGACATTTTGACCATCAATCCAGCCGTATCTAAACAAAGGTGTGGGGTTCATTAAAAAATAATAAGTACAGCCATTAGGCAAAATCAAAAGAAGTGCGTTTATGTCTGAACATGTTATTTAGCTCTAGGCTGGCTATTGTACTCAGAATGTTTTCTTTACCTGCATGTTCTCAAGCCTTTTTGGTAAGCTTCAATGATCTGTTCCTGTGTTGCCAGTTTGTAATCTAAACTCTGACACAATTCCAAAGACTGTTGGAAAGTCAGAGAGTAACGGCTGGTCCCCTCAACATGGAGAACACCAGCAAAGCTGCATCTGCCACTGTGACCTGTCGAAAAAGAAACTAATGTAAATATTCAAAGGCCGAAATCTGTATTTATGTATAAATTGTTTTCCATGTATAATCACACTAATGACTAGCTTGTAAATGAAGGCCAAATGTAGGCTCTGTGTGTGACGGATGAGCAATTTAGTATTATGTATCATTAGATGAATCTCTTAATGATTCATTGCATGTGCAGGCATGAGCACATCTGTAACATCTAGACCATCTGTAAGCCTTCGACTTTGTAAAGGACCTCTTGTTTTTGTTTCAAAATAACATGTTTAGACCAGCAAGTGATTTTAAAGAAATCAATTACTGGAACAACTGATATAGGCCTAGTGTGCCGAAGAGGGAATAAGTAAACACCAGGTATATTACTTGATGGTTCAAGATTGCTGTATGATCTTATAGGATTGCCAAAAATCGGCAAGATCATTCATCATTACAAATCACACTGGATCTAATAAACTTGGGTACGACATGTATGTAGACTGTACGCTGATGACACATATTAAATCGTAGGCTACGACGCAAGTTAGTATAGAAGTATAAAACGTCATCAGCAAGCACTAGTGGTAAACGAATTGAGCAAGATGAATCGCACTTTGGCAATTATGGTTTTTATGTGCGCTGAAATAAAAGAGGAAGCGAGAGAGGAGAATATGCGGTTATGGCTAGGGAAAAGAGGCCAACTTGGCATGCCAATTTTATAAATGGAGCTTGAGGTAAGTAGTTTTAAGTTTTAGCACCATGTCGGGTTGATCAGTACTCCATTTTATGTTGCATTTTTATTGGCTGGTCAGTAGACGTAGGTCGTAGCAGTAAACGCTGTGAGACGATCACTGTCAGAAATGTATCGCAGGCTATCTTTGGTCGAAAGACCTTGACAACAGACGTCTTTGAACCTCACTGTACTACTTAGGACCACCGTTTAGGAGTCACGACCACAGAAATGACCACGATTGGTCATCTTTCGTCTGGGACAGCCCAAAATCGTACAATGTATACCGGGCATAAAATAGGAGGAGATTAATAAACTCCTGAGTAAAGGAGATTATATTATTATATTGTATTATATGTACAATAAACTTAACAAGCCAGGGGCTGTATTACAGAAACATCATTACTCTGGAATCCTATCTTATCTTTAAGTATAGCGGTATCAGTTGAAACATGTTAGATCTTAATTTCATTCCAAAGATATGAAGTTTCTTTAATACAACCCAAGGCCGTTTTCCTAAACCATATCACAACATCTGAAATTTATCTACAAAGAATATTGTCAATGCACTAAAATCGTAAATATATCCTTATCTTGCCACTGTATGCGTCTTGACCAAGACTATGCCAGAGGCACCTCTGAGATCAATAAGTAACACATTTGCCATCACTCACCCTGAACCGGGGCTGCCTGAAGTAGTGCTGGTGATCCAGTAGCTAGTACCACAAGTAACAAAGTCCACATGGTCCGTACTGTGTCATGTGCTAACTGAAGGGAAGTATACCTGTTTCTTGGCCCTGAACTGGTTTGGTTCTTACAACGCTTTGATTCTCCTTTGTTGTCTCACCTCTTTTATATGCTCAGACAAAGGTACGCTACTTGGTGAGCAATGATGGGTGGTGCTATAAAGAACACACCCTCACTATTGTCTCTCACATTTCCCCTCTCTCTCTCTCTTCGTCTGTGCAGCCAGTATTAGCATACCAGACATCTTGAAACTCATAGAGTTTCATTGAGATCAATCGGTTTGTAAGTACATGTGTAGGCACTATTTTGTACTGCACTATTTACAGTTTCTATGATCTAAATAAAAGTATTAATATGTTCAAATTGCGTCTACATTCATATAAATTTAAAAAACACCAACAAGTAATTACTGTAATTACACAGTTGACCCTACATCTAATCCTGACCCTACCACAAACCTGTCCCTAACCTTCCACATCAGCAGCAAGTGTTTTGCAACATGAACAACATGATTTATAATGTATTTACATATAAAGACATTGGGACTAACTTAAATGCATGTCTGGATAAATGTGTTCTGTGCTTCTTCTCAAAATGAAAAGGCTGAGCAGTAGTAAATAAGCTAGTTTAGCCCCATGTATTATGTTGAGTCACTGCAAACATTACAGTGGTGTGGCTGACTCAGGTGTGTGAAAAATCACCTCGCCCCGTGTGTGCTGATACACGTTCACTTCCTGCTTCAAGTGCGGGAAGAAAGTAAAAGGAACTGAAGGTGGCTCATAGGGGGTTATCACGGGCCAGACCACTGCGGTTTTGGTTTTCATGTTGGAACTTGTGGATCTTAAATGGAATTTAAGAAACTACTGTATAATTTGACAATATTTCCTTGACATTTTATCAATGAATTTAATAAGAATCAGCATGCGTTTAAATGAAAATTCTAAAGAAACTAGTGACAAAAAGGAGATAAAATATGTTTTTGTTATTCCAGGAAATGGAATAACTGAGTAATCATTTGAGAAGACAATGAGCTGCATATTTTGCAAGTGGCCAATATCAAAATGACTGTGCCTAACTTGTGACATATGGGGATCAATAGAGTTCAGTTTAAACTATTATTATTCTAAACAAAATGGACTTGAAACTTGGAGCTATCATATCCTCATATTGTTTCAGATTGTCCGATAAAATAACTTTATTAAAATGTGTTTTTAGACATTTACCGACGTCCGGTTGGGAGTCTTTTATCTTTTAATCTGCACTTCCGCCTTCCGCTGTTGCACAAGAGTTTGCTTTGGGCTTGCGCCTTAAAGTAACAGAAATGTCGTAAATATCTTGAACTTCGAGAATTATTTTATACAGTCTTCTTTCAGGGTTTTAAGAATGTCGTCGGAAGTAAACACTGCACACGCGGAGAGCAACGGGAAGAAGATAGGGGTAAAACTATAAATTATGTTCTTGATCTTGGTGTTGTCATGATATAGCATAACGTTACTCGATATTGTTTGTGTCTCAGAAGCTTATAATGACCCTTCTTAACGAGACGACATTATCGTTTAAGGACCAGGAACATCCTCGTGTGCTCATCCCAGAGCTGTGCAGACTCTTCTATGAGTTGGGCTGGGTGACAGGAACCGGGGGAGGAATAAGCCTGCGGCATGGGTTAGTCAAGGCATCTTAGAGTAATAAAATCCACTGTGTTCGGCAATATGTACTTGCTTTTTGGGCCAGACAGTGACGTAAAAAAATGTCCACTGTAAAGAATGGTAAACAAATTCTTAGAAACTGACTCCTTAATATTCACGTGGTTAAGATCGTTTTTGCCTTATACCGTATTTAATGACGAATAAACATGATTTGCGGTGTAAAATGATAAATTGTATTATCTTATTAACCTCGACACAGCCTTGGGGGTCTGCAGAGTCTCTATGAAATAATTTCCTGTTTTGTTTTGTTTCCCCCTTGTATGAATTAGTTGGACCACGTGACGTGACTTTGATTTGGCAGACAAAAGTTTTTCTCTTTTCTTCTTTTAGGAAATAATCACAATATTATGCCAAACTATCTTATAATTTTTCTTTTCAAAATGTCATTCTTTTAATTTCTACATTATGATATCAGTGTGGTTGTATACTGTGATGTTTAGGACTTAATGCCTGCCAAAAATATTACAATTAATAATTAATAAATTTACTCATGTAATTAAATATGTATGGAATTCATTACACAGCATATAATAATTATTTCTTCTCCCAGTGAGCACATTTATATAGCTCCCTCAGGTGTTCAGAAGGAGAGAATACAAGTAAGGCTTTTTTTATTCATGAATCATGAGTCATGCACCACACATCAGTAGTTGTATAAAGAAATTACGCCAATAAACTATAATTTCACTCCTGTTTGTAGCCTGAGGACCTGTTTGTGTGTGACATTAATGAGAAGGACATCAGTTGTCCACCTCCACAGAAGAAGCTAAAGAAAAGTCAATGCACACCCCTCTTCATGAACGCCTACACTATGAGAGGTACGTGTCCACTCCACACACAGTGTTTTGTTCCAGTTCTGTACTGTATTTGGAATGCATTATCATTTTCTTTCACAGGAGCTCAGGCAGTTATCCATACACACTCAAAGTCTGCTGTCATGGCAACTCTCATATTTCCTGGCAAGGAATTCTGCATCACACATCAAGAGATGATCAAGGGGATTCGAAAAGGAAACTCCAACACAAACTACAGGTTGAACATCCTGCTAAGATGCTTCACTAGTCACTGATCCCACTCATGACAGTTTTACATGAGTAAAATGTAACGTGTTCTTGTCAAATAATACTAAATCTCAAAAAAGAACAGTTGTGTGAACGTCTAAAATCCTGCTTTTACTTTACTGTTTGTATGTGTTTTGGCCCCAGGTATGATGAATCTCTAGTTGTTCCAATTATTGAGAACACCCCAGAGGAGAAAGACCTGAAAGAGCGCATGGCCCGAGCCATGGACATGTACCCCGACTCCTGCGCTGTTCTCGTCCGCAGACACGGGGTCTACGTCTGGGGAGAGACCTGGGAGAAAGCAAAGACAATGTAAGCTACAAAATGAAATGCACACCTCATTTTGTGTATGTATACAACAATATGTATTTTTCTTTTAAATCTGTATTATTTTTCAGGTGTGAATGTTATGACTACTTATTTGACATAGCTGTTCAGATGAAACGGTGTGGCCTGGACCCTTCTGCTCTTCCCACTGAAGATAAAGGCATTGTTTAACACATTTGACTCTGTACAATTAACCAGTTACCATCATTCGTTTTTAAATGACAAATCCTCATTGCACATCGCACTGTTTTTTGAATATGTACAGTTCAGCATTTGCCATGTAATATTTATTTTACAAACAAAGTTAAATGTCTATTACCTGCAAACAGAATGAAATGTAAGAATGCAGATTAGAATGGCTAACATTCTGAAGCTAATGAGTGTCATTCTTTTTGTTTGGGTATTTTGATGCTTAGCAACAATGGCCTCATAATGTCATAATTAGCATTAATCTTGACAGCTGTATGTATAATGATATACATTGATATGCTAGTTATACATACACAGTAAAAACATGTACCGGTATTTGTGTTTTTTAATTCTTGTATTAATTTACATTGGGTCCACTCAAATGCATATGCTTAAATGATTATAAACACTACCATTCAATGTTTGGGGTAAGATTTTTTGGTCCCACTTTATTTTAAGTGGCTTTAAGTACTATGTACTTACATTGAAATTAATAATTTGATACAATGGATTTATTGTGTACATACATGTTTTTACATTGTACTTATATTTTGAAAATACCTGCATGTAATTACAGCTGTAATTAATTTATGTAATTACAGCTGTAATTACACTGTTGCCCCTTCCCTTTCACCTTAACCCACCCTTAAACCGACCCATACCACCACACCTGTCCCTAACCTTACCCGTATCACATCTCAATAGCAGCAAAAGTGTTTTACAATACAACATGAACACAATAAGTACATTGTACTTATTTTTTGACGTAAGTACATAGTACTTAAAGCCACTTAATATAAAGTGGGTCTGATTTTTTTAAATGTTTTTGAAATAAGTTTTTCATTAAGGCTGCATTTATTTGATTAGAAATACAGTAAAACAGTAATATTGTAAAACATTATTACAATTTAAAGTAACGGTGTTCTATTTGAATACATTTTAAAATGTAGTGTATTTCTGTAATGGCAAAGCTGAATTTTCAGCATCATTACTCTAGTCTTCATTGTCACATGATCCTTCAGAAATCATTCTAATATGCTGATATCCTGCTCAAAATTATGAAAGCAGTTGTGCCACTTAATATTTTTGTGGAAACTGTGATACATTTATTTCAGAATTCTTTAATGAATAGAAAGTTAAAAAGAATACCATTTTAATATATATATATATATCATTTTTTAACATAATTGTCATTATTTAATGCATCCTTAATAGTGCCGTCAAATCGATTAATCGCATCTAACAAAAGTTTTTGTTTACATAATATATGTGTGTGTATATTATAATTATATTTATTATATATACATTTCTGTGTGTGTGCGTTTCTGTGTATATATACATATATATATAAATATATATGTGTGTGTGTATATACAGTGTACATACAAACAGACATAAATATAATATATATACACACACACACACATATAATGACTTTTATGTTAGATGATTTATCGTGATTAATCGATTTGACAGCAATAATCCTTACTGAAAATGTTTATTACATTTAAAAAATGTTGCTGACCACAAAAGTTTGAACAGTAGTGTGAGTAGAATATGGTCTGTTTAAACCATAGCATTATGTCTGTTGGGTAATATAGCCAGGAGATGGCAGTGTTGTCTCTGGCCTTTTTGTACTTTGCAAGAATTATTGTGGAAGTGCCCTTTGTAACTTCAAACATGTTTGTATTCAACTGTTTTTAATAAGTCTGCATTTAACAGCTTGAGTGTCAGTGAAATATAAAAACAAGTGTGTTGTACCAGAGTCGGGACTCAGAGAAAGACTCATTTTTTTAGCTGCCA